CAGCTTAGAAATGATCCATTCACGAGGCTCGTGCTATAAGCACTGCAGTAACAGCTTGACATCTGTCCTCATTTCAATCTCCATGTAAAATAGGGTGTAATATACCGGTACATATACTGTGTAAAAATAATATGCTGATAAAAAAGACTTAAACTGAATCAAAATAATGATAATATTATAGTTAAACAAGACTAAATAATAATGATTAAAAATCGAGAATTATTTATTATTATTATTAGGTCAGGGAAGTGTTTGGAGGGCATTTTCCGGTTGAGCAATGATTGAATCATCTTGTTAATTATTTTCATGCCAACACCGTTCCTCCCATTTGCCCTGCAAACGCTTTTCATTTTTGTGTTATCTTAATATGCATAATTTCCCTGTGGATGAAGTAATGTAATATTCATGAACCCACATGATGAATATGGCCTTGAAAACAACAGAAACGGCACAAGCAAAACACACAAAAATGAGAACTGCTGTATTGCATGCAACGTGGTAACCCACTTTAAACTCCCAGATGTTTGTATTACATACTTTGTGATGACTTCAAAGCACAAATGTTGTGTTGAGAGATGATTGCTTTATTCTCAGATCTGTGAGATGTTCGGAGACAATGACATCTCTGTCTGCTTGACATTCAAACCTATCTGTTTGCTATACAACATTTGTATGTCTGATCTTTTTACCCCAAGGTCATGTGTACTTCAACATGAGATCCTTCCTCAAATGCCTGCTTTATTTAACTTGAAGTGATTTTATTTGAAATATACTGATGTGTGTTTAATGTGCTTTTTAACTTAAAACCCTTAAAAGGGCTTTTGAAGATGGGTCATTCTAAATCCTGGGTCCATGAAACCCCAGGTTATAGCGTTTAACATTTTAATCTGCTTATATACAGTATAATACATACATATGAACACAATAAATTAGGGTACCTACATAAAATATTTCTGCATTTATTTGGCTCCATATCTGCTTTTGCTTTTAATTGTCAATATGCATCATTTGAAGGTGATTTAACTTAAAGTTACAAGCCTTAAACCTAAAACTATAAGTTATCATTATCGTATTGAATAAAAAACCTGGTACAGGTCATCCTTACACAGTAAAACAGAGGTCACCAACCTTTTTGAAACTGAGAGCTACTTCTTGGGTACCAATTATTGTGAGGGGCTACCAGTTTGATACACACTTCTTAAATAACAATTTTTCTCAATTTACTTTTAATTATATGTTGTTGTTGTTATGTTGTTGTTATATATGTTGTTATATATATGTTGTTATATATATAATAATATATATATATATATATATATATATATATATATATATATATATATATATATATATATATACTTTTTTCTAAAATAGTTTTAGTTTATATATATATATATTTATATATAAGTATAATTATATTTATTTAAAGCTATTCTTTTCAAATCACACTTGCATTGGTGTAACATTTGTTAATGACATTAAGGTATATATATATACTCTTTAGTAAGAAAATATTTTTTTACACTCTGTTGAATTAAAATAAAATTACCCAATGTTGCGTTTGTCTGTATTTGACCCAACAGTGGTTTAAAACAAACCAACATTTTTGACAAAATGATTTGACAAAATTCAACACTGAATGAAACATTCATGTATGAAGTCATACACGATTAGTTCATGTTTCTAAATGAAAAATGTGAAAGGGTCCCACTTTAGAACTGCCTTAATCCTTATTGGCATACATTCAACAAGGTACTGGAAATATTCCTCAGAGATTGATGCATGATGCAAATCTCCTGTTCTACCACATCCTAAAGGTGCACTGTTGGATTAAGTTCTGGTGACTGTGGAGGCCATTTGAGTACAGTGAACTCATTGTCATGTTCAAGAAACCAGTCTGAGATGATTCATGTTTTATGACATGGTGCGTTATGCTGTTGAAAGTAGCCTTTAGAAGATGGGTACACTGTGGTCATAAAGAGATGGAGATGGTCAGCAACAATACTCGTAGGTAGGTTGTGGCATTCCCACGATGCTCCATTGGAACTAATGGGCCCAAAGTGTGACAATATTCCCCACACCATTACACCACCACCACCAGCCTGATACAAGGCATGATGGATCCATGCTTTCATGTTGTTGACACCAAATTCTGACCCTACCATCTGAATGTCAAAGCACAATTTTGGTGAATCTCTGCAAATTGGAGCCTCAGTTTCCTGTTCTTGGCTGACAGGAGTGGCACACGATGTTGTCTTCATCTGCTGTAGCCCATCCGCCTGAAGGTTCGATGTGTTGTGCGTTCAGTGATGCTTTTCTGCATACCTCAGTTGTAACGAGAGGTTATTTGTTATTTGTTATATTTGTTGTTATTTGTTGCCTTTCTATTAGCTTGAACCAGTCTGGCCATTCTTCTCTGACCTCTGGCATCAACAAGATATTTGCGCCCACAGAACTGCCGCTCACTGGATATTTTCTTTTTTTCTGACCATTCTCTGTAAACCCTAGATATGGTTGTGCATGAAAATCCCAGTAGATCAGCAGTTTCTGAAAAGTTTCTAAAAAACCAGCCTGACTGGCATCAATAACCATGCCACGTTCAAAGTCACTTAAATCACCTTTCTTCCCCATTCTGATGCTCAGTTTGATCTGATCGTCTTGACCATGTCTACATGCTTAAATGCATTGCTTTGCTGCCATGTGATTGGCTGATTAGAAATTTGTGTTAACGAGCAATTAAACAGGTCAACCTAATTAAGTGGCTGGTGTATCTAGAGCGTATATACTGGTATAATGCAAAATCTTCACGCCTTCAAACTTAATGCATTGTAAATATTTAATGTTGTGTAGCATGACATACATATTAAAAAGGTAGCCTAGAAGAGATTATGAGCATAAATATTTTTGTAATAAAAGAGTTTTTCTCCATCTGTCCTGCTCTTTCCCAGCTGTAGCTTTTAGCACTCACATCTGGGACATCTTGCTAAAGCCACTCATAAGATCAACCTCCGCTGGGCCACACAATCGTGTTCTACTGCTACAGCACATTTGGTCCAGGCTTTTAATGTGTCTTTTGTTTAATGCATAGGCCTATATTTAAGCTGTTTTTCCCCCAGACATCATTGCAAATCTCTCTAATGCTTTAGTGTTACTGCAAAAAAATCAAAGCAACTTTTCAGTGAAAGAAGTCATGCAGCAAAAACCCAAAAAAAAAAAAAAAAGCTGATTATTGATTTTTTTCTGTTTAGATTTTATAGTTTATTTTTAGTATTACTGTTGACAAAGTGTTATTTTTATTATAAATATTTTTATTACCATCTATTTATTTCTATTACAGTATTTAGTATTTTTTGTATTATTGACTGTTTATATTTTAATTAAATTAATATTTATTTTTCCCTTTAGATTTCATAAACAATCATGACTATAACCATTATGACTATAAAACTGATTTTATCTCTGATTAAATATCTACGTTATCAAAATGTAAAATGATAATAATTTTTTAAAACTTTCCAGACATAAAGTAAACGAAAACGAATTAAATAAAAATAGTCATTAAGACTGTCAGATATTTATAATTATATGAATACTACTACTACTATCATTAATAATTATGTAATATAATAAATTTTATTAATATTCATTTTTTATTATTAATATCCAGGTGACCCAGCCGGGGTTGATCATTAAAATTTAGTAGTAGGTAAGCTGCCAATTAGGGCCTCAGGAAATCTGAGGGCCCCCAAATAAATACCTATAATTATAAATTATACCCATAAATAATATATAACATTGTTTTCTATCATATTTTGAATGGCGAGGGACTAAAAATTTTCATTTGTGTCCCCCACCCTCAATCTTGGACCAGTCCAGCAATCAAATTAGTTAAGATTTAGTTTTAAAAACAGAGATGTTTAGTACATTTGGTACTTTTAGTTGTGATTTCATTTTAAGAAAACATACCATTTCAAAAGTTTTACAAGATGCTTAACATGTTATTTTTATTTTGCATTAAGATAAAATGTAGAAAAAAAAACATCAGTGATATAAAAAAACAGCTTTTTTATATTAATAAAGTATAAAAGATGCTTTTTAAAACTTCTGGGCCTCATGGCTGGATTTGCTTAGGGCCCCCAAATCACTAAATCCGCCCCTGGAAACACCCCTGGGAAACACCCCAATTGAATAGTTTATTTATTTAAACTATAGCGCATGTCTTTGGACTGTGGGGGAAACCAGAGCACCCGAAGGAAAACCAAATGAAGACACGGAGAATGTGCAAACTCCACAGAGAAATGCCAACTGACAAAACCGGTACTCGAACCAGCAACCTTCTTGCTGTAAGGCAGGGGTGTCAAACTCAATTCCTGGAGGGCCGAAGCCCTGCACAGTTTAGTTCCAACCCTGCTCCAACACACTTACCTGTAGGTTTCAAACAAGCCTGAAGGACTCAATTAGTTTGATCAGGTGTGTTTTATTAGGGTTGGAACTAAACTGTGCAGAGCTGCGGCCCTTTTGGAACTGAGTTTGACACCTGTGCTGTAAGGTGACAGTGCTAACCAGCCAACCGCACCGATCAATATAATATATACTAAATTATTGTTAATATTTATTATGCTTATAATTATATGAATATTATTAATAACATTATATCCGTTTATATTGCTAAAAATTTACAATGATATCAAAGTCAGACTTCAAATCATGTGGGTTAATAAATTGATGGACTAAATTAGTTAAAATTATTTAAAATTAAAATTAGTTCAAAATCTTGTTTAATTCTTGATGTGTATATTAATAAAATAAAATACAAGAGAAGATTCATAAATTTGGCTTTCTAACAGACAACACATTATAGGAACACACACACACACACACACACACACACACTGAAATATACAGCGACCTGAAATCAAAACAACAAGAGCTTAAACCTCCACGACCTGATGAGTTTCATCATTCTCATCCAGAAATATTCCCTCTGCCCATGTGCCAGACCTAAAGAAAAGAGTACAATGAGAGTCTCTCGGTCTCTGCGCGAGGGATTACCCATGTGACTCTTTTAATGTCAGTAAAGCCAGCTGGTCGTACACTATCAGCTTGTAAGTCCCTGTGTGTGGGGTTGTGCCACATCTGCGCATGTTTTGGGTGTATGCAAGCATGCGTGACTTGCTTGCCACAGGACGTTTGCTGTCCCTATCACCTGCTGCAGTATTAGACGGAGGTTAGGAAGGCCGCCTGGAAGATGTAAACTCATGGTATGTCTATTTTACTGGTCTTATTGTTTGTTTGTGACTTTGTGTTTATTATTATTGCTTTCAGAGGATGACAGGAGTGCTTTAAGAGATAGTGCACCTAAAAATGAAAATTCCCAAAAGAAGATATTTTGAAGAATGTTTGTTTCCTCTCCTACTATGGAGGTCAATGGGTACCAGTTTAGAATTTGCTTTATTATATCTTCTTTTGTGCTCAACAATGGAGCTCATAAAGGTTTTGAACCACTTGAGGCGACGTAAATGCTGAGTACATTTTCGTTTTTTGGATGAACTACTTCTTTAAGCTCATATTATTAAGATTTCTGTTTATAATCTTATACTAGGGTTGACATTTGTCTTCTGGCTGACATTTGCCCTCTGGTGGCCTTTAAGCTTCGATGGTAGAAATGAATGTGCTTTTTTTGTTTTCCAGGGTCACCAGACAGCCCTGCACCGGGCAGCTGTTGTGGGAAACCGTGACGCCGTTTCTGCCCTCATCCATGGAGGATGTGCTCTTGATCTACAAGACAAGGTCTGTTCATTTGCAATCTTGTCATTCGGAAAAACACTAAAGCAAGACAGCCATTTTTATATTCTCGTAAGCAGTGTAATAAATGTTAATATCTGTAATTGTTGAAATAAAAGCCAAATAACTATAGTACTATTGGTGTAGCTTGACATTTGAGCTGGGGCGGATGCAAAAAAAATTAACTGGAATAAAAATAAAACTTCATTGCCTTAAAATTTCAGATTTTTTGTTTGTTTAATTTTTTCCATAATAGTATTTTATACTTATGATATACTGTACATACAGTTGAAGTCAGAATTATTACCCCCCTTTTTTCTTTTTTAAATATTTCCCAAATGATGTTTAACAGAGCAAGGAAATTTTCACAGTATGTCTGATAATATTTGTTCTTCTAGAGAAAGTCTTATTTGTTTTATTTCAGCTAGAATAAAAGCATGTTTTTAATTTTTTGTAAAACATTTTAGGGATAAAATTATTAGCCCCTTTAAGCTATATTTTTTCTTGATCGTCTACAGAAAAAAACATCGTTATACAATAACTTGCCTAATTACCCTATCCTGCCTAGTTAACCTAATTAATCTAGTTAAGCCTTTAAATGTCACTTTAAGCTGTAAAAAAATATCTAGTCAAATATTATTTACTGTCATCATGGCAAAGATAAAATTAGTTATTAGAAATGAGTTATTAAAACTATTATGTTTAGAAATGTGTTGAAGAAATCTCTCTGATAAACAGAAATAAACAGGGGCTAATAATTCAGGGGGGCAAATAATTCTGACTTCAACTGTACGTAACTCTCTAAAACAACATTTCTATTGTGGTAAAAAGGCTAAGCTCTCAATTATATATTACAAAAAAAATTATAAAAAATATAATTAATGTATATAGTTAAGAGTAAAGTTTTTCAAAATACAGTATGGAATCCCTTTGTGGGATTTCTGAAGGAAGCTGATATAAAACTTCTGTCCATTTAACTTGTAACTTGTATCATCTGCTATTAATTTACCATTGTTTTGAAATCTTTATAATGTATGTGTATAAAACATGGTCAGCAACAATACTCAGGTAGTGTTGACACAATGGTCAATTAGTACTAATGGGTTCATAAGTGTGCCAACATTCCCCACACCATTACACCACCACCACCAGCCTGAACCATTGATACAAGGCAGAATGGATCCATGCTTTTATGTTGTTGATGCCAAATTCTGACCCTACCATCTATATGTTACAGCGGAAATTGACATTTATTAGACCAGGCAACATTTTTCCAATCTTATTGTCCACTTTTGGTGAGCCTGTGCGAATTGTAGCTTCAGTTTCCTGTTCTTAGCTGACAGGAATGGCACCCAACGTGTTCATTTGCTACTGAAGCCCATCCGCCTCGAGGTTGAACATGTTGTGCATTCAGTGATGCTCTTCTGCATACCTCGGTTGGAAATGCAATGAATCTGATACAAAATTGGTCTGATTGGTCAAGCAGTGGCGCAATAGGTAGTAATGTCGCCTCACAGCAAGAAGGTCGCTGGTTCAAACCTCGGCTGTGTCAGTTGGCGTTTTTGTGTGGAGTTTGCATGTTCTCCCTGCGTTCGCTTGGGTTTCCCCCGGGTGCTCCGGTTTCCCTCAAAGTCCAAAGACATGCGGTACAGGTGAATTGGGTAAGCTAAATTGTCTGTAGTGAATGAGTGTGTGTGGATGTTTCCCAGAGATGGGTTGCGGCTGGAAGGGCATCCGCTGCGTAAAAACGTGCTGGAAGTTGGTGGTTCATTTTGCTGTGGTGACCCTGGTTTAATAAAGGGACTAAACCGAAAAGAAAATGAATGAATGAATGAATGAATGAATGAATGAATGGTCGAGCTGTTTTTTCACCTTCTTTTTTAAGAGAACCACATCAGTGGACTATTAGAGAATATGTATTGTTTAATTCATTTACGTATAATTTAAAGAAAGGGCTTCTTCATAATCAACATTGCAAACATTAGTTTTTTATCAATAGTCCTGTTTATGATTTGAAATTGTATTTTTGTTTGTTTTATAACATCTGACAAAATGACTACTAATGACAACTAGACTTTGGGCTAATTTGGGTACATTCACATTCCATGCATTGTGCCTTAGTTGTGAAATAAATAATCTAAAAACAAAACTAATAACTGATTGTCCTCCAACAGGAAGGAAACACGGCTTTGCATGAAGTGTCATGGCACGGTTTCAGTGCTTGTGTGAAACTACTGGTCAAAGCTGGAGCAGATGTGAATCTAAAGAACAAAGTAAGTCATTTTATTAAATGCATTATTTTTCAGATTAAAGCAGTTTTCTTTTAAAAATGTTATACCAATATTTATTTTTCTTTAATACAAAAACATTTTATTTCTTTTTGAAAAGGAAATTCAAAAACAAAAATTAAAATTGAATTGGGAAGAAATAACATTAGCAGTTTACAGAAAACGTCCTTGTTATTTTTACAGTAAAACATTTTAAATGGATATAACCACTAACAAGACCTTTTTAAAATTAAGAAAATCTCATTTGGTGGATTCTGCTAATTATTTTTTATCCTTTTATTTTAAAGGTTGGAAACTCTCCTCTACATCTAGCGTGTCAGAACGGACATTCTCAGACCGCTCAAGTGCTACTGCTTGGTGGATGCATGCCTGACAGCAAAAACAATGCAAGCTTTTACACTACATTACAATACAATCCACTCGTCCTACATCATTTAAACCAGTGGTTCTCAAACTTTTTTCACCAAGTACCACCTTAGAAAAAAGTTGTCTCTCCAAGTACCACCTTACGACGCTATTTTTTAACCAGTATTAAAAAATAGCGTCGTAGGCCTAATTAAGCAGCTACAGGTGTGCACATTGTTAAAAACAATGCAGATTAATTTCTATTATTTAGAATATGTATTATTGTCAGTCACTTTAAACATTTTAAATAGTCTGAACATTAACTGTGCTTGCAGGTAAAAAAAAAAAAAAGTTTTAGTTAAAATGGGCTTTTAAAAGTTCATTAAAAAATGGCACTGTTCTTAAAAAGTAAAAAGAAAACTGCAGTACTTAAATCTAAAGTTTTCATAGTAGCCTATTCATCAAAAGTTGGAAATGTTGCTTGGACCTCATAAATATAGGCTAAATGTCATATTTATACACTTTCAGACAAATCCTGAAATATATGTTAAATGTACATAACAGGGTTCATACAGGCACAGCCTAATGAAAATCAATTCCAGCACCTATTTTTTTCAAGACTGACATGCTATGTATTGAAGACCTGAAATGTATTGTCAGCAACCCATAAAACATTATATAGGAATAGATACAAATAAAAACCATTAATAATAATAATAATAATAAAATAATAATAATAATAATAATAATATTTATTAACCATATATTAATAATATAATAAACCTGCACTAAATGCTTGTAAAATCTTTTTTGTACTCAAGTAAAAATACTATTACACTGCTAAAATAACACAAATTTTAGTAAATAATACTAATATTAGGTAAAAGTACAAAGTACTCTTTTAATAAGTACTAGTTTAAAAAATCTGATTTTCATTATGAAATCCCTTTTTTAAGTGTAAACTTGATTGAATGGTTTAATTGCTTAAATCCCAAAGCTACATGTATAGGAACTTGCACTAACAAAGGAAGTATGACCGATTTTTCCTTTCATGACAATTAATCTTTTTCAATAGCACTGGTAAAACTACCACATAATCTTTAAGGCCATCCAGACGGTTTTTGCCCATTTTTAAACAATATTTGCAAGCTTTGAAAGGTTTAATTAAAGTATATGGTAAAAAGATTTAAATTTAGCCTTTTATTTGCATATTTTACACTATTTTTCTTTACAATATGGCAAATTTATTTTCTTAAATAGCTGTACATCACATGGAGATTTTATTTTACACTTGATCTTAATCTAAAATACAAACTTTAAAAAATACAAGTACACTGTCAGTTAAAAAAAAATAAAACAAATGACTTAATTTTACTAAAGGTATTTAAAATATGACAACACTACATTTATCAAAGCAGTGCTTTAAGAGCCTTATTGTTAATTATGATAAATAAACAATAAGTAACAACGGATTGCTTTGACCTGTAATGCTTTAAGACAGATCAGAATACAGCTAAATGTATAAATCACACAAATACCTCATCCAGAAACATTTCCAGCATAATTATTTTGTCGTAAAGAAATAAAAAAATCCACCTTTGCTAAAAGTAAGTTTCATTTCACAACACAGCCAAACAAGAAGACCATTAGCATTGTCATCGATTATGCATCAATCTATTTCTAAATATTTGATAAATTTGAATACTTTTGGTTAAATTTAGTCAAGGAGCAAAAATAAATGTCTACTTTAATAGTGGAAAGATCGCGATTGTATTCAATCTGAGCACGCAGGCGATCATGAGAGCACTTGCAGTTCATTTAAAAAAAAAGCATATTTAAGAGCTCGCATAACTGTTTTAGCGATTTGCGAACATTAATGCGCTCTCGTGATAAAACAAAGCACTCGCCACATTTGCAGAAATGAGTTATTGCGCAATACCTCCATTCCCGCGCCGCCATTCAGACTGTATAGAGGAGTGACAGGTCAGAGGCGAGTCGACTCGCTGTCGGAGGGCGAAACGTGTATGAAGATCATAAAATAGGCAGGAAATATGTCCGCGGTTTAATAACTCTGCTAGACATTTCTATAGTGAAAACATCCGAGAAGCAACTAAATTAACAAAACATTTGTTTTTAAGTTGTTTTTTCTGTCTCTGCAACACAGAAAGCCTTTGTCCCGCCCTTACGTTTCACGCAAAACTAGACAAGGTCGACTGTGATTGGCTACTTTTCATGTCAGTCAAATCACGCTTCAGAATCAATTCTTAAACTTCGGAAACTGATATTCAGCAGCTTATGACACAATGCACTAAAATAAACACTCTAAGCAAAGAGCTGTGATCGTACGCTTCACTAAACAGCCAATGCTGATCACATCGATGTTATAGTACGCATCAAAGGATTAAAAGTGTTAATTGTTTATTTCATTATTTGGCGATTCCTCCGCGTACCACTAGGAGGAAGCCCGCGTACCACTAGTGGCACGCGTACCACAGTTTGAGAACCACTGATTTAAACCATTATATTTACATATTTCTAGAAAGAAAAAAGCTAAAGCTCCTCTTTCCTTCCAGGCAGGTGAAACATGTTTACACTTTGCTGCTCGCTACAATCACTTGGCCATAATTAAGATGCTCTTGGGTTCTTTCTGCTCTGTGACAGAGAAAAACCAGGTCAAATCCTCATTTTGATTGTTTTGCATCCAACAGCAATGTGGTTTACACTTTATATTACAGTTCTGTCCTAGTTTCTTAGTTATTTTGTCTATAACATAAAGCATCAAAAGCTATTGATGCTATAAACTGAAAACAAAATATAATGATTATTTCATTCATTTTCCTTCAGCTTAGTCTCTTTATTAAGAAACTGGCTCACACTTAAAATTCAGAGATTAATTTAACTAGCCTAAGCAGTTAACAACTACTTCACCCAAAACATTCTCATCCGAACATTGTTTCAAACTGTTTTGAGTGTCTTTTTTTCTGTTAATTACAAAAGGCATTTTGAAAAATGTGGAAACCATTGACATCCATATTAAAAGTACTTTCCAACATTCTTCAAATATCTTATTTTGTGTTTAACAGAAAAAAAACAACAACTCAAGTTTGGAACCACTTTAGGTTGAGCAAATTATAACAGAGTTTAGATTTTGGGTTGAAGGATCCCTCATGATTACAACAGTCATCTCCAGTTCTTTGCATAAACAATTACAGCTGTTTATGTTCTTGTGGAAAATGAACATATTTTATAGACAGGAGACACTGCGCTCCATGTCGCTGCTGCCCTGAATCACAAGAAAGCGGTCAGTCTGTTGCTGGAAGCAGGAGCTGATGCAAATATCAAAAACAATGTAAGTCATGTAATCTCATCATATGCCTGATCCTCAGGTTATAAAGAGGAAGACTGCAGCTGAATAATGCCATTACATTTAGTGATAAGTTGCACAAATTAGGCAGTAAATTGATTCCATAATATGCTGAAGACCGTAGTTTATCGTATTTCATTACCTACCATAAAAATGTACTAAGTGAAGCATGTAGTTGCTTTTTTGGGGAGTAATTCAATATTGTAATGCATTACTTTCAAAAGCAACTTTCCTAAAACTGGTTGTAACTGTAACAAAACTTGGATGTCAATGGCTACTGGTTTTGTGTTCAACAAGAGAAAGATCTTTTTCTGTTTCCCACCCCCAATAAAAGTTAATCATTAAACACTTAAATGCTACATCTTTCAACAGACCGGACAAACTGCTCTTGATAAAGCTCGAGACAATAACAACCGAGAGCTGGCTATTCTTCTAGCTAAATCCAATCAGGTAATGGTATTACATTCAATGACTTCATATCGAGCACTAGTTCACTGTCCAGTAAGACATGCTCTTTCTAGAAAAGCATCATATGATTTGTTTCCGAATAAATCAGCACTACTAAACAAAATGATTTAATCTTTTCAAATGTAATGTAATCTGGTTTGCATAATTGTAAAAAGAAAATAATAATAAATTAAAATTGAATGTACTGTATTTATGTACATTTGAAGACAATATTATTAGCCCTCATGTGAAAATTTTTCTCTCAAATATTTCAAAGTGCTATTTAACACATTTTAAAAATTATAATAGGTTTAATAACTAATATATTTCATATTTGCTATGATGACAGTACATAATATTAATATTCAGCTTGAAGAACAAAGTCTTAACTAGGTTAAATAGGTTAATTATAGGTAAGTCATTAGATAACAGTGGTTTGTTCTATAGCAAATTTAAAAAAAAACCTTAAGAGCTAATAATAATATTGACCTTTTTCTAAAAGAAATTAGACTTTCTCTAAAAGAAAAATGTTATAGGAAATACTTTAAATGCTTTGAAATATCCTTGCTCTGTAAAACAGCACTTGGGAACTATTTGAAAAAGAATAAAAATGTCAAAGGAGGGCTAATTTAAGTTTTTGTTAAAATTCTTGAATTTATGATTGCATGAATTTCTGAGAATATATAATCAGCCCATTGGAATAAATCAAATTTCTATCTCACGATTGCTCATAAAACAGATTGTCAAAATTTATGAAACCTCTATATTCATTTGTAACAATAAACAATAAAAACAAATGCACGATCTCTGAAAATTATTTCTACTTGATAAACTTAAAAAAAAAAGTGATTCGCTTTTATGGAGAATTTTGCACATATAGTGTCCAACTAAATTCATTCCTAAAAACTTTTTAAATACTTCTTTTTAATACTTTTTTAGAATGCATTTATCTCTTACAGGTCAAAACAGACCACATCCACAGCTTCTCTAACAGCAGTCATATGTCCCTGCTCAGGTGCAGAGGTATGCTCGAGGAAAGACAGTGCGAAAAAGACGAGATGTGTCTCGGGCCCAGAGGAAAACTCAATCCCTCCCCAGAGTCCACAAACCCAGAAAGAAGGTGGAGACTCAGATAAGATTCAGCCATCTCTAATGAATTACAAATAGTCAAATTACTGTAATCTGTTTTTTTCAGGAGTTATACTTACTGTAACTTTTACTTAAGTACATTTTTAAGGCTGTATCTGTACTTTTACTTTTTACTATTTTCACTACATAAGTTTCAATACATTTTTTTTTCAATTCAATTCATTTCAATTCACCTTCATTTGTATAGCGTGTCAAAGTCGCTTCACATAAAAGGTCATAGTAAATTAGAACAGTGTAGTTCAGTTTTCTAGTGTTTAGGTTCAGTTTAGCTCAGTTCAGTGTGGTTTAATAATCACTACTGAGGGTCTAGACCAGGGGTGGGCAAACTCTGTCCTGGAGGGCCGTTGTCCTGCACAGTTTAGGCCCAACTCTTATCATACACACCTGCTTATAGATTTCTAGTGATCTTAAAGACACTGATTAGCATATTCAGGTATGTTTGATAAGTGTTGCAGCTAAACAATGCAGGCCACCGGCCCTCCAGGACCGAGTTTGCCCACCTCTGGTCTAGACACTGGAAAGCAAATCCATCGATGCGCAGCTCTACAGATCCCAAACCATGCAAGCTAGTGGCGACAGCGGAGAGGGAAAAAGACCTCACCAATTGGCGAAAGTGAATAAAAAAAAAAAAAACCTTGAGAGAACAAGGTTTTTCTTACAGTGTTCTCTACAGTGATAGGTTAAGTAGAATAAGCAGTCCCTAGGATTCCTGTCCAATCACTTTGAGGATAGAAAAACAAATCAAGTAAGACAGACGGACCACAAGACATGGATGCTTTACAAAAGCAGCTAAAAGTGGAAGCAAGTTGTTCCACTCAACGTCCGAAAGACTGTTTAGAAATGGCCTTAAACAATAACTAAATGCAATACAGAATTAAGATTTCAAACATACCCCTTAAATTACAGGAATTCTATCTATATTTGTGGCGCCAACAGCTAGACACTCATAGCTTGTTAGTCAGAGTTCAAAGTACATAACTTCAGCATTAACGGTGCGGTATGTAAGTTTGACACCCAGTGGTTGAACTAGGTATTGCAATCCTGGATCAAAACAAATGCAAGCACAGGTTGCCAAATTGACGACCAACAGGAGCGAGTATGACTATCGAATCTAAAGGCTGATTTAAACTGTGTTCTATTGAATGGTATGTGATAGCAGGAATATTTTCCATATTAAAAGAAGTTTTTGTTCTAACCAACACCTCGAATTGATATATTAGAAACGGCTTCTATTTCTTGCAGCTGAACAAAAGAAAACTGACAATGATCACCTCAGGTATACCTCATGTGCTTTATTCAGTGTTAAATGCTAACAGTGTGAGTTTGAATGCCATTTTACATGACATTTATTGCCATACTACTGAAAACAGCAGCAGAAGATAGTTCACCTCAGATCTTGAAAATAAAAAAAATCGTTTGAAAATAAACTTTAAAACTGTTAAATAATGCAAACCAACAGATATCCGTGATTCAGCATCTACATTTATTAATGTTAAAGAGGTTTGACATGTATTAATTAGATTATAAACCTTACTATTTCATGAGTGAGTGCATGTGATGTGCCTCTGAATGGCTGTATTTAAATTTCTGTCATGTTTCATCTGGTGCAAACAGCCAAATTGCTTATCACTGCAAATCTTGTCACGTAGCGTGCTGTTAGGACATGGGGTTACAATGTAACCTGCGCACCTAATGTTTAGGTTAATAATATTTATATCATTTCCTAAGTAATAACCTCATGTGGAACTCTGAATCCGTCTAATTTCGGAGTCTGCTACAGTCCACCGAAGGGTGCATTTCGGTCATGGGCACATGCTTTGAGAGGCTTCCAGAATGAACGTATGAATGAATTAAAAATAGGTGGTTTTCCACCAAGGCAACCCAGGGTGTTAAAATATAATTCACTAAAGTGGCAGTGGGCGTGTTAAAAGAACCAAAACAAAGACAGCCTTTCGGCATGTAACTCACATTTTCAAAGCAGGAAATCTGACTTCAGCATTGTTTTTCAGATAAACAAGAATGTTCACTTAGCATGTATCTTAAATATCTGCAAACATATTATGATATTTTTATGCTTTATAACTGTCAAAATCTTACATAAAGCACCTTTAACATATCGTTACAGCTAGATTATTGCTACTTAGGTTACACAGATTTCATATGTAAACGCATCATGTAAACGCATCAACCTGCTTTTTGTCGGCTTATCATAGGTGTATATCAATGTAGTGTGTTCTCACATTAAATATCTCACATTGTCAATATATAGTCTATGAACCGCAAACAATGTCACTTAATTTTAGAAATGCAATAAAAGTTACTACATAGCTACATTTTTAATTTGCAGGGTATAAGATGAAATCATTTTCACAGCATAATTTCCGTATTTTGTGAATCGCAAGTGTTTCCTGTTTGATCGACTTGATCGACTTTTGACGCTGAAAATTCAACTCTACAGTTTAACAAAGTGAATTTTATTGTCATTTTAGTAGTTTGATACAATATGGTGTATAAGAAATAATATATAAAGAAACAAGGCTATGTATTGGCAGTTCATGGTGTTAAGTTCAGTTCATTTATTATGGTATTTTTACCATAATATACAACACCAACCTAGACAATATACCACTATAAACAGTTGAAATACAATGTTAAATACAAACTTTTCAAGATTAAAAGTTGTTGGTATAAAGCTCAAGGTCCTATAGTGAGTAAATAAATGGGGAAAAATAAAAACACGAATCACATAATACGCAAAACTGCTCATTAACGTATTTCTTACTGGAGTACTTGTAGAAGAGCTACTTTTTACTCATACTTTGAGTAGTATTTAGAAAAGATACTTTTAGTTTACTTACTTTTTCTGGTGAACAATGGTACTTTCACTTAAGTGTGATTTTCAGTACTCTTTTCACTTTACATTCGGCATGTGTTACAGTACATGATTGAGAAGCACAAATCACATGACTTTTAATCTTCCATACGAGATCAGAGGTCATGTGATTGCATTTGCCTAAAATCCGTGTGATGCTGAGCTCATGATCACTGTGCAGGATGACAGTGAAGCGGCTGAAGACTCAATCAACAGTGATCAAGCCTTTCAGCGGATCCAGCCTGAACACAGAGCTGCGACTCTGAGCCCTGACAACAGGAGGAAAAACACCAGTCCAGGCAGGACGGTAAGCATCCTAAGGTCTTAGAATTAATAATTTCTAACTACTAGTATATTTATACTATCATAGTCATTTCATTTGCCATATGAAAAAAGATGCTAAAGTTAATATATATGTTTCTCAAAGAAGGGTTTATTTTGCAATTATTACATGGAGACTGTACATTATCGGGTATTGTTATTTTTTATTAGGTACCTTAATATTTTTATAAACAAATGTATGATTTATAAAAGTTACTTTTGTTTACAAAAATAACTGGAATATAGAGTTATTAATATATACTGTAATGTAATTAGTTAATTTAATATCAATTAATATGTGTGAACAAGTGCAGTTTTTGGGCTTTCAGCAGTGACATTTGTTTTAAACTAAACAGAACTGGAGCCGTTTTAATTTACTAGAACTTCATCTATGTTAAGCTGCTTTGACGCAACCTACATTGTAAAAGCGCTATAGAAATAAAGATGAATTTAATAAATAAGTTAACAAAAATTATTATATTAAAATAACAGATAAAATAAAATGACAGGCATTACACAAATTCAGAGAGCCTTAAAGTTATCAAAAGCTCTTAAAGTTTTTTTTTTTTGCAGTACAAAAATTAAAGTTAATCACAATAATATAAATCAATTTACTACCCATAATTCAGAACTGACCAGAATTGACCAAATATTATAAAGATTACAGAGAGTTTATATTTTAGTCATTAATCATAAGTTAGCTTGTAATACTCATCCAAACAGAATAAAACTAAAACAACGCTAATTGGAAGTTGTTAATTACTTTTATAAAGATCAATTAATCTTCATTCATTCATTTTCTTTTCGACTTAGTCCCTTTATTAATCTAGGGCTGCCACAGCGGAATGGACCGCCAACTTGTCCAGCATATGTTTTACACAGCGGATGCCCTTTCAGCTGCAACCCATCATCACTGAGAAACACCCATACACACTCATTCACACCCATGCGAACACGGGGAGAAATCCATACAGATATTCCAACTGACCAAGCAGGGGCTCGAACCAGCGACCTTCTTGATGTGAGGCAATTGTGTTACCAAGTCCACCACTGTGCTGCCCTGCATTAATCTTAATATCAATAATAAAACAATTTAATGATCTTAACAATTCCAACAACATAAAATTATGATTACACTTGAATTGAAGCAAATAAAGTTATTGTTTTTATATAAATAAAATTTATATTAATAAAATTTTATAATCATTAGAATAATTCAAGAGAATTATAGATTATTAAAGTTGCTATTTTTTTAGTTGTTAAAACAGTATTTAAATTAAAATTCAATCAATGCAAGATTATTAGTTTAATATGAACTAAATGAACTCTAATACGTGGAAAATTATTTACTCAAAACTACAATAATACCTTAAGATTGTAATTCGATTAAAGTATTAAATAGAAATAAAATTAATTATAATATTAGTATTAAAACAATGTGAATTAATAGTTATTTTAAAATAATTATAGAGTCACTTTAATATTATACATTAATATTTATCTGTATATTAAACCAACTCTAGGCTGCTGACAGTAAAAAAATAAAAATAAATAAATAAATAAATAAATATATATTTTATTTAATATCCTTTAATATATATATATATATATATATATATATATATATATATATATTAAAGGATCTGAAGAAATTTCTCTAAAATCAATAATTGGGTTGTGCAGTTTTATTGACAGAATTTCTACAAAGTATGTTGTATACTATATAATTTTAACATGGTTGTTCTGTGAATTTATGTTTAAAGTTTTTACTGCAAATGTCACATCTATAATGCTGGAATTGCTCTTCTGTTTCTGCCGTTAAAGCCTGTGCTGCTGAGAGAGTATGATCTGTATGAGAGAGGAGTGAAGCCCAGCAGCCTCAGCTCTCCAGACCAGCATCAAACTCCAGCGAAAGCCTTTCAGCTGTACACGCTCTACAGAGACACGGACGGACAGATCAAGCAGGTACTGGAAACACCACATTGCAGGGTGCGTGCATTTGTTTGTTTTAAACCTCTTAACCAGTGAATGTCCACACGCAGGCTCCTGCAAAAGACTGTCACTGTAAACCCATCATTAAAGCGCTGGAGAAAAAGCTGAAAGCCACAGAGATGGAAATGAGGACGGAAATACACACCATTCAAGAGGAGATCAACTGCAGACTCGGACGAATAGAGCAGAAAAATAAGCATCAGGTTTGTCCTTTCTCTAAAAAAAAATTTTAAAAAGGAAATAAATAAATATACGGACCAATAATTAATCTATTGAATTTATAAAAGCATTAAAAACCACTAGCAAACATTAAATGTATCGTATTATTCTTTAAAAAACATAAAAATTACAGTCAAAGACAAAATTATTATTATGAAATTTTAATTATTTTTCCAAGGACTGTTTAACATAGCAAAAAAAATTGTCAGAGTATTTCCTTTATAATTTCTTCTGGAGAAAGTCTTATTTCTTTTAGTGTGGCTGGATAAATATAGAATTTGCCCTCTTAAGTCTTTTTTTTAAAGATTAGACAAAGGCACTTGAATAGTTAACTAATTATTTTTTAATTCAACTATAGCGGTGCGGCTAGGTAGGGAGCCGACAAGACATTGTGCCCAAGGGCCATTGAATTCTTAATCTGGACCTGAGTGTGACATCGACTTTAGTCATGGGTAAATAATGGGTATACTAAAGTAAAGAGGTGATTTGTTGTTGGGTTGGCTGCAAAAAAATTATTTAAAACATTATCATCAGGGAAATAATTAATGTTATGAAGTAGCCTGGAAGAGTGTTTAGCACTATTTTGAGTGTCCAAAAAAGTTTGTATAATGCAGAATCATCACAAATTGTTTGAATGGATTTAAAAAAGTGAAAATAAAAAAATATAAAAATAAAAAGCCCCTACTCTTATCGAAAAAATAAACAAGTGTCTTTGTAAGCAACAATTCAAAAGGATTCTTCTTTTTTTATATTTACTACCAATATAAGTCTTCCAATATTAATGAAAGACACTGTAATATCTTAAAACATATTCTTCTTAAGAATTTCTATATATATATATATATATATATATATATATATATATTTCCCTAGAAAACAAAACAAAACACAAATCCTGCTTAATTTTTTGGGGAGTTCAAAAATAGGGCAAACCTCAACCATGGTTTGTTTTGCTGCACTACTTATTGCACTCCTCTGTAATCCCTATAGATAAAACAAATTGCAAAAAACACTTTCAAGACCAATGAATCCGCAAACACAGGTTTTAGAGCTTCACTTCTCTTCCCGTTCAGATTAAAGTGCTTGAGAAACTGACGCAGGAGCGAGTCTCGGCAGAGCGGATGGAGTGTCACTATCGCATCAACCAGAGAGCAACACTGGAGCGCATGGAGGGCCAAAGAAAGCAGGTACGACACTGAAAAACGAGTTGCACAAACACCATCCCAATCTGTCTGACATTACCCTGTGCTCCTCTTTCAAGCAGGCTGCGGCCAGCAATGCAGTGAAGAGCTGGTGCATGTCTAAGATTGAGGATCTGGAGGTGCGGATGCCTGAGACGCAGTACTACAAGCTCCTGCGCTCTCCATCCGCAGACTCAGAGCTGGAGGGTCTGCCGCTGCTGTCACTTGTCTCAGAAGAAAGCTCCAGTTCACTGGCCACATACGTCAATGTGCTGCCTACACCTGGAGCCTCTCACAAGAGCCTGGAGTTCGAGGACACGCTGGGAAAACGATACTTGAAGATCAAGCAGAATGGCTCTTCAGGTTTGAATTAAAATGCTTGGCGGTGTATTAAATATATGTGTTTTAAAGAGATTGTACTCATCATATCTTAGATTTAACCCTTATATGCTGTTGGGGATGTTTTCATCCATTATGGGGTGATTTTGAGTCTTAATCTGGCCACACATTTCTCTGTGTTTCAGCAAATGGAATGATGTTTGGGGACAAAACTTATTTTGACACATATTTTGGGAAAATGCTTAGAAATTAAAAAAAAAAAAAAATCACCAATACAGTCTGGGCAAATGTACTACCCTTTCGTTATGTTCATGGCTGTTTCCCCATTGACTTCCATTATAATGACATTTTTTGATTGCAAAGCCATGACACCACATAATCATAGATTCTTGATTGTCGCTGGTTTTCCCTGTAGGGAAGAGGTAAAACTTGTAATTTTTACTTTTGATCATCAGTTGCAGTGTAAAAAAAAGCTTAGTTTCTATCTTTTATATGGAGTGGAGTTTATATATGAGTTGGTGCTCAGCTCTTAGAACATAGTAAGCATAGTACAAGTATTGATGCACGCACACAATCATTTGTTGTTTTACTCCTTAGAACTCCATGGACCATTTCAATGTGGTAATGTCATTGGCCCTTAAACATTTCCTGCTTGTTCTCATACTATAACTGTAACATGATACAATTAATAATATTTTTACGTTAAAACAGCTTTCATAGGATTATTAATCAATATGTGGACCTTTTTGGATTCTTTTTGGAAGCTATAGAAATAAAAATGTTAAACAGGAAATACATTAGAACCATTGTTATTGTTTACATTTCTCAAAATAGTCTATAAAAGCCAGAAACTTTTTTACATGGGCTTATCTAAAGGGTTAAAGGTGCGAACTGATGATCAACAGTAAAAATGACACATTTTACCTCTTCCCAACAGGGAAAACCACCAACAATCAAGAATGCATGGTTATTTTGTGTCATGGCTTTGCAATCAATAAAATTTAATTATAATGAAAGTCATTAAGAGCAAAAACAGCCTCAAACATTATGAAAGGGTAGGCAGTGACTATGTTTACATAGACATCAGTAATCAAATTATTTAGCCTTAATCTGAATAAGACAAAGATATGATTAAGGTGTTTACATGAGTTGTGTTTTGAATGTTCCTTTCATGATTCAGTTTTACATGTAATAGCACATAATTTGGTTAATAGAACTCATAATTTGATTAGGATGATTTCGCAGGCCAGATAATCTGCATGTATGAATTTTTTTCTTTGATTTGTTTGGCGAGTCTAACTGTCTTCGAGTATAAGTTGAATAATCAAATAAAACTGCATAGTCTTCACCTTATAAAAGTTAAATGCAATGAATTTCCATTGTAATAGTCATAATTCGGCTAACGTCACCGTGCCATCCACGTTTCTTCCAGAGTTTCATGTAATTTCCGGTGTTTCATTTTTAATTTGTGGACTTAAACTGCAGTTTAGCACTTTCACTTTCCTTCAGGAACATTTCAGTCATGCCCTAGTGTTAAACAAGATATTGGATGCGACTATAAACTGCTGGAACAGTGTAGTTTAAATGGAATGTGATACTGCACACTGAATATGAGAAAAAAAACTCAGCATTTCACGATGTGTGTGTCTGTGCTCCTTCACTGACTCGGTAGGTGGAAAGAATCGTGCCAAACAGCCGGGTATGTATGGACTATCCTGTCGCAAAATGCGGCGAAAATCTTACATGACGGTAATAGTTTAGGGTGTTTACATATCTGTACTGCACTTCAATAATGCGACTAAAATCTGCATACTCCACGTCAATTTGATTTCTGTTTAGTTCGATTATGACCTTAATCGGATTAAATTAATCAAAAATCACTGCTTACATCAGTAATGAGTATTGTCTTATTCGTATTAAAATCAGATTAATGGTGTCCATGTAAACATACTCAGTTTGAACAGTAAACAAGGATTAAAGGTCTTATTCTTTTTTAGAAGAACATTAAAGACATTTTTTTAGCTAAAACTGTGGTCCAGCGGCTTTTAGCACTGTGCAATCTCTCATGACTGTTTGCTGAGGTTGGGAATTAAAGATATTAATGTTGTAAATAATGTTCAGTTTCCTGTACAAAGATCGTTTTGCTTCATAAGACATCAAGAAAAACAGAAAATAAATAATTTAGTTTTTCCTGTATATGGTGATTTAATCATCAAAATTTCAGTTGCCGTTGGCTTAAATTGAGTGAACCACCAAGAACTACACTTTCAGCTAAAATATTTTTCAGTTTTTTTCAGCTTTACATTACACACATACAGTTAAATGCAAAATTATTAGCATTTATATTAATTATTTTTATTATTATTTCCCAAGTGACGTTTAATAGTGCAAGAAAATGTTCACAGTATTACTTAAAATATTGTTTTTCCGAAAAAGGTCTTATTTCCTTTAGTAAGACTGGAATTAAAACAGCTTTTATATTTTCAAAACAAATTAAGGTCAACATTATTAGCCCCCATAAGAATTGTTTTGGCAACAGAACAAAGCACAGTTGCCAATTGCTAATTGCTAGTTAAGCAACATTGTTAACCTAATTACCTAGTTAAGGCAACTTATGCTGAATATTAGTATTTTGCAAAATAACTAGAAAATTATAATGTGCTATCATCATGGAATAAGACAAAATAAATTAGTTATTGGATTGATAATGTTCTTTACATTAAACAAAATAATTTTTCAACTGTGTATTTATAATTATAAATATAATTAATTGTACTTTATGTATGTAAATATATAAGCAATATTTCACGAGTAGCAGTGCGACATGGCTGTATATCAGCACTGATGGGAGGTGTGCGTTGACTCGAGTGCCTTAAGCCTAGTTCACACTACAGGATTTTAAACATCAGCAGATCGCTGTGCTGTTCACACTACATGACTTGACTTTGTGTCTTTTGATCTCTGTGGTGTTCACACTACGCAACACTCCGTGAACGATCCAAAAGAGGGGGGTCACACACTACATGATCTGACAACAACTCATTCCCCATTAGCTCATTCAAGCTACCAAACCACAGCCAATGAAAATTTGAGGGAGGAGTCGTCAGAAAAAGCTGAACACTATTGGCTGCTTGTGTGCTGATGACATCACTGACAGCGTTTCAAGCTTTGGAGAAAGCATTTAAAAACATCGTCAAATCAGCTGATTTATGAGCGCATTAATCACTCATCTGCAGGTTCCAGTGGATAGATACACAGAGAGTTTTTAATTTTTGTAATTTTATAACTCTTTGAAATAAAACTAACATATTTATAACACCCTGCCGTTTTCTAACTATCAGTGTATTTCTTTCTGACATTGTTATTTTTTTTTATTACAAAACAGTAAAGAACTGAGCATTTCTGCCTTAAATTACCATATTGGATAAAATGACTGCATGCATATCTGATACTTTTCGCTGTGACTTTAAATATGTGTGCATTTTCTTGCCTGGCAACTTCCTGCTAACATAAACAAAACTTTCTGATGGCAAAAACATCAATTTACTTCAGATATCTTTCAAAACTGCATATTCTGTGCTGTTAAATAGCTCCTGTTTGAAAGTAAAAATGAAAGCCAAACCTTTAAGTGTTTTAGTATCTTAACTACATATTTATAGGCTGTATTACCAAAAAAATATTATATTCTTAGGGTAATGGTGTCATTAAATATGATGCCAGACATTCAAAGCTTAATTTTAATATCTCAATAATAGCTTTGAATGTAAATATGTTGTGACAATATGGCGTTTCATATGAGAACGATCAGAATGAGCAGTATGGTAATTCTAATAGTTACAGAATTCTAGTTCCACTGTTAATATAGCCTACTCTCATGTCTGTGCTAACGCAGAATGAAGCGAGTGCACTGATGCCCATTCTGACCAATCACAGATGTTTCTGCTGAGCTCCTAAACACACAGCCATTCAGCTCATGCTCTCTCATTGGCTGTAGCTCGTCACTACATCTGACCACACGTGGGGTTGAGTCGGCCGACTGCTCTGGAATATTTAGCATGCTGAATGTTGGATTTCCGTCTGCGAGGTGTCGGCGACGCGTCAGCGAGCCTCGTTGATGCGTTGCTCAGTAGTTCACACATAAAGAGCGGCGAGCGCCGGGCACCCGCAGATTTCTTCCCGATCACAGCCCGATCTGTCGGCGAGCTCGTTAACTTCCAAATCGGGCTCAAATCAGGCTTAAAATCCTCTAGTGTGAACTAGGCATTAGTGTCCAACAGGGACGATATACAGTATAGCCATTTCCCACTTGTACAAGTGTGATATTGCATTTATACAACAGTTCGATGGCATGATTGTCTATAAACAAAAAAATCAAACAGAGAGTCTCAAAAAAGCTTTTGTACGAGGAACTACTTTCTTCCACCGTTCATTCCATCTGCAGCTTACAGTTAGAACAGCAGAAACATTGCTACTTCACCAATGTCACTTTAGAGCTAGTATTTGAATGATTCTCTAGCATAATGTCTAAACTAAAGACAGCGTTATTTTCTCACAAAACAGTTATTTTAAGATTATACTAATTTTAAGATTATGGTTAAAATTAATAAATAAAATGTTTCACTTGATTAGATATAGAAAGTTAATATGGCTCATTTGTTTTATTTTACGTCAAACATGAAGTTTCATTATTATTACGATTTTATTTCTGTGTATTTTATAATAGTATGTGCTCTAGAAAAAGGGCTGATTTAAATGAGCTAGATACATTTAATGAGCTTATATGTAAAATAAAAACAAAATCAAAAGCCAAAGCATAAATAAAACATAATTCCTAAACCATCTCTCCATATTCCCACAGATGATTATCATAACATAACTGCTCAACCTATGGTGAAGCACAAGCCTCTGTCTCGGTCGCTGGCGACTGCTGACCTCCAGTGGCAGCGTTCAGAACTACAGGAGGCTGAAATCTCCAAGCACAGGTCAGACAAAGGTCATGAACTCTGTGACAGCAGCACCAGCAGCAGCCGCTCCACATCCAGCAAAACCTTCAATGACAGCGACAGCATTTCCAGATCGGCTTGGAAACACAGCAAACACCTCAAAGACAGGATTAAAGCCCACCGCGCACAAACCCAGCAGAGCACCACCGTCAACACCTTAGAAGTGTTTTCCCAGCGGCCCGCAGAGGCCACGTTTACTCAAGAGAGGGCAAACCTGCATGCTGTGGAGGTGACGCAGCGCTTCTTCGAGACGGTGTCCACGCAGCTGGAGCGCTGGTATGAGAGGAAGATCCTGGAGACACAGAGATCCGCAGAACATAAAGCTCTGCAGGACAGAAGCAGACTGATGGAGAAGATCAGCTCGCTGGAGGAAGAGCTCAGGAGGCTTCGCACTGATCACAGTACAAACACATGAAAAACATAAAAAGATGTCATGCTTTCATCCATTTTTAGACAACACAATACCAACTAGTAATGTATTTTGGGAAATGTTCCTTCCAGCCTAATGCATTTAAGCATCTCTTTTTTATCTCTATTTAATAAAAATAAAAAACTAATAATATCAAAATTCTTAAAATATATTTTACATTTATTTTCTTAAATATTTAAGTAATAATAGTAATTCCCCATATTAGTCTGGATAAGAGAATTTTTATGAAAGTACTTCTTACAAATGCATATATATATATATATATATATATATATATATATATATATAATATATATATAATTTATATATATTTTTATATATCTATTTATTTAAAATATATTTTTATATATATTATTTATTTCTGAGCTATTCCATTACATACATAAATTACAACTTAAAATAATGTAAGCATATCGTGAGTAATGTAAGCTATCATCTTTATGCTGATGATGCACAGCTTTATATGCCCATAAAAATTGGGGGAAACTGTTTTACAGTCCTTGTTTACCTGTTTTAACAAGATTAAGCAATGGTTGGCGGGAAATTTTTTGCACTTGAATGAATCCAAAACAGAAGTGCTAGTATTGGCCCTCCTAGTGTCTGTGAATGTGCAATTAATCAACTAGGTTTGTTTAAACCTAAGGTGCACAGTCACACTAAAAGTCTTGGAGTTATTTTTTACACCGAGTTAAAATTTGACAAGCAAATAAATTCTGTCACCAAAAGTGTTTTTTATCAATTAAGAAACATTGCCAAATTGAAGCCTTTTCTGTTCTTTAAGGAGTTGGAAACCATCAGTTTTTATTATGTCAAGATTGGACTACTGCTCATTTAAATTTTTTTTTTAAAAATCACCTTCTGTCTTTCGCTTTTGATTGGAATGAATTAATTTAAATCGGTTTTACATATTTCTTTTAGATATACAAGTATAGATTTTGTATGTTGCTTGATTTGTAAAGCACTTTGGTCAACGTCTGTTGTTTTTAAATGTGCTTTATAAATAAAGCAAACAAACAAACAAATATTTAAAAACATTTATTATTTAAAATATTAATATTTAAAAAATTCTTATTTATATCATTTTATTAATTAATAATAATTATAATAATGATTTTATTTGCTGTATTTTATTATTAATATTTTTACTTTTATTTTTAACACATTATATAATAAACAAAAAGGACAAAAGGAAGCTGAACATTTAATGAAAAAAACGTGTCATGGAAAAAACTAAATCCTACTGTTTAGTCGGGTATCGGCGCATAACTGTCAAATGTGTATTAACTATACACATATTTATAAATGTCATTTATAATATATTTAGGATTGTGTGAAATATTGTGAATTAGGGCAAAGATGAATAGTAAAGACTTAGATGTCATTATTAAAATTAGAATTACTGTAATTAACTGGAATTTCTGTAAGTTAGTTATAAGAATACCTCTTGTTGTTGTAAAGTATAATATATATTGCTCCGTTCTTCAGTCTATGTACTTCTACACTTGTGAATAAAATATAACTGGTTTAAATGTGCCTAGAACTCCGTATTCTTGTTGTGATTAATGATACATGTGAAAGCTATTAAAAGTCTGTCGGGTCGAAGGTTGTATAACAAGAGTTCATGACCCACTGTGACCTCCAGACTACCACATTTCTGCGACTCCAGTGGTTTATACAGGTTATAAGTGATACTTCTAAACCCCTCACATTTTTAATGAAGAATTTAATTTCTACTAAATAATTCATGATAACATCCAACTTTGAAAGTATTTAATACTTTTGAATTTAATCCTTTGAAACTCCTGAAAATACAAACTATTAAAAACAATAATTAAATCACAACAATACTCTCCAAGCCGAACATTATTTTTCGATGTTTTCGATAGAGTGCTGTTCACGCTGTGTTCTTTACCTCGTTCACACCATAAACCTCTTCTCGGTAAATATCCGCAGGCGTGCTGGAATCTCATTATCTCCAAACAGTCGGATCAGGCCTGCACGAGTCTCTATTGATTGAAATGGATCAGAGTGAAGTAATCTATCAGCATGGTGGACGTCCATCACACTGCCTGCGTCCATTTCCAAACTCCCGCCTCCAACAGCAAAGTCTTTTACTCTACAACAGAAACAAATGGCTGCTGAGGTGGTTATGAGTACATTTTTCTCTTAAACATGGGCTTGTTTTCATTCATACTAGGGCTGCAGGATATTGTAATTGATATCGGACATTGCGATATTTTGTTTTTCTGCAAGATGTATTGCGATATGAATATAATTATTTCACCAGATCACTTGAATAGCTCAATTTGCAAAGAACTCATAATTTGATTGGGATGATTTCGCAGGCCAGATAATCTGCATATATGAATTTTTTTCTTTGATTTGTTTGGCGAGTCTAACTGTCTTCGAGTATAAGTTGAATAATCAAATAAAACTGCATAGTCTTCACTCTATAAAAGTTAAATGCAATGAATTTCCCTTGTTATACATTGCATCTGGAATATTGCAACCACATTTTTTATGCTACAGCCTTATTCCAAATTGGATTAAATTCATTTATTTCCTCATAATTCTACACACAATACCCTATAATGACAATGTGAAAAAAAAAGATTTTTGGAAATTGTTGCAAATTTATTAAAAATAAAAAACCTGAAAAAACTCACATGTACATAAGTATTCACACCCTTTGCTCAATACTTTGTTGATGCATCTTTGGCAACAATTACAGCCAATATAAGTCTTTTTGAATATGATGCCACAAGCTTGGCACACCTATTTTTGGAAATTTTTATCTATTCCTCTTTGCAGTACCTCTCAAGCTCTATCTGGTTGGATGGGAAGCGACAGTGTACAGCCATGTTCAGATCTCTCCAGAGATGTTCAATAGGATTTAGGCCTGGGCTCTGGTTGGGCCACTCAAGAACATTCACCGAGTTGACATGTCATGCATCCTCATGACAATCCCAAGTCTGTTAAAAAAAATGCATTCATCTTTAGAGTGCAAATATAGATATTTTTAAGATTTCTCTTTTTGTTCACTAAAAGTGTTAAATCAAAATTGAAAATGTTTATTTTGCGAACACATGCTGTTATTCTTTAGGTGAACAACGAATCTGTGCAAATTATTCCACTAAAAAATATGGTTTTGGTAATCATCAATCAAAGTCTGACCATTTGCTTCCTTGTTTGAAGAGGCCGCCCTTCCTGGTTGAAGTCAGTTTGACAGATTCAGCTACAATATTCTTAACCACATCCCACTTACCATTAGTTTGCTATGAGGAAATAGAGAGCTCTGCCCCCTACTCAATATTTCATTTCAGCTGGAAGTACATTTACATACTGTAAGAAAAGTCTCAGCAACTTACGGTTTACATGTTATGGAGTCTGAAGATTCAAAGTGAAACAATATAAATGAAGTGGCTTAATCCTGCAAAAGAGAGACATTTATTTAATGAACTACAGCTGCACAATATATCGTTTCAGCATCAATATCGCAATGTGTGAGTCCGCCATTGTCACATCGCAGGGATCTGCATTGTATAGTTGACCAGACATTACAGTTACAACATAGTGGAGTCATTTCAAATTTTAACCTTTGAGTAAAAGTTTATTATTTGCAAGTGTTTTAAGGACTGACTGTAGGAATTTAAAGTAAACTTAATTAGTTAAACATTTGTTGCTTAAAGGTTAATTGTGCATTTAAACTCAATTAAAATGATACAGTGTTATTAATATAACAATACATTGATTTTTACATTTTTGTTTCTGAATACTGTTTGACTCCCCAGAAAAAAATCATAAATCTTTCTTTATTTGTATCTTTTTCCTGTTGTATTTACTATGCTTGTCATTTGAATATGATATTTTACACAGATACACTCCCCTACACAATCAGCCCAAACTTTACAAGCTATCAAGTCATCTGGCGAAATTGCATTTATATCGCAATATCTATATATGGCAGTGAATAAAAACATTGGAATGTAATTTTTCAATATCATGCAGCCCTATCATGAACAGATTTAATTTTAGATTTTATTCACATATCAGTATTGATCAAATGATATATTCATTTTAAAAAGTTCAAACATACCTGCTGGATATGCTAGAAAAATCTTCAATAGTTCTTGTGGAAGCTTAAACATGTGATGCAAAACTGAACCTTGTTTGTTCTTCTTGCACATCAAACAAGCATTCTTGAGTGTGCCAACTCCCTCATCAAATTTGAATGATGTAAACACACAAACGTTTATTGTTTATATGAACCCAAAACGATCTGAATTACATTTTTAGGATTAACTTACTCTTTAAGAGTCTCTGCATAGATCCAATGAGCTAGCCTGATCACTCGCTGCTGCCTTTCTCACACTTGCAGCTTCTCCACGATGAACGTTCAGCATTCTCCAGCACCTGGCGCTTATCCGCACCTCTGCACAAGAAGTTTGGACAGAGGAAAAATGTCCAACTGAGCCTGGTTTCTCTCAGGGTTTTTCCTTCACTTTCGTCTATTGGTAAGGTATTGTTCCTCGCCAATGGCTTGCTTGGTTTGGGAAGCTGGACATTGATGGATTTGCTCTTCAGTGTTTGGACTTTCAGCAGTGAAATTTAAACCACACTGAACTGAACTAAATTGAACTTTAACTCTGAGAACTGGACTGACAGAGTTTCAGTTTACTAGAACTTCTATGTTAAGCTGTTTTGACACAATCTACATTGTAAAATCTCTATAGAAATTAAAATGAATTGAATTCAATTGAACTCAAGAGACAGGGCCCCCTTAAAATACAGGTTCATTATTTCTGGAGAGTTATGTTCCAGCAATACAATCAGTAAATTACCTACAGGGTTTAACAAAAAAAAAACAAAAAAATAAAAAATTAACATACCGTACAGGGCGATGCGGTGGAGCAGTAGGTAGTGCTGTCGCCTCACAGCAAGAAGGTCGATTGTTCGAGCCTCGGCTGGGTCAGTTAGCGTTTCTGTGTGGAGTTTGCATGTTCTCCCCGCATTCACATGAGTTTCCTCCGGGTGCTCCGTTTTCCCCCACAGTCCTAAGACATGCGGTACAGGTGAATTGGGTAGGCTAAATCATCCATAGTGTATGAGTGTGAATGAGTGTGTATAGACGTTTCTCAGAGATGGGTTGCGGCTGGAAGGGCATCCGCTGTGTGAAACATATGCTGGATAAGTTGGCAGTTCATTCTGCTGTGATGACCCCGGATTAATAAAGAGACTAAGCTGAAAAGAAAATGAATGAATGAATGAACATACCGTTCAAAGGTACATCATCCAAACGACAACCTTTGTCAGGCCCGTAGCCAGCCTATTAAAAGGGCTGGGTTTTCTTTTCTTCAAAGTGGACATTTTTGTAGCCATTCTCCTCAATTTCTATTAAATTATGAGGTTCAAATACAGCACTCATGACATTTTAAGCACTAATCTTTGCTGCATTAGCTTGTCGGATGGTGATCATAACCACACTTTTTGATAGAACAAAAATATTTCCCATAATTTTGTCAAAGTGCTTACTAAACCATACTATTTTCCCACAAAATGTTTATTTACGTAGAAATGTGCGTTTAAACTGTAAGCTATATGAAAAAAGAATAAAAATACTTAAAATACAAATGTATTATCGTGTATCATTAAAAAAAACTATTAGGAATCTGAAACGGTTTAAAAACCAACTAAAACATATTAAAAACTGTAGCTTGTAGGTAAATAAGAAAGTGGCCAGCTCATTTCCTTAGAGTTTGTAAATTTGATGAATTAAAGATTAAATTTGACTTAAAGCCTTCTTCTGTCGATTAGAAGATTTGTAATTGCTCTATGCTAAAGATGGTCCTGCGGTCAAGATCACAATCTGTCTTTTTATAGTCATTTTTTATGTATGGGGGTCTGATTCACAGAGCAAGCAGTGCGGAACCGAAGGAGAAACTTGATTTCTTGCTGTATACACAAATTAAACATGTTTTCAAACAATATAACATGTCTTAGCTACATTGTTCGTATGGCTCATTCATCCACGCCGATAGTACGTTAATCTGTAGCCTAAAGAGGTTTAGGCCTAAATTACCGTTATTGCGCTGCATAATTATGAAAGCAGTTTTGATATTTTTGTTTTTCAATCACTTTTAAAACATAAACAACAATGTGTTAGGTAGAATCGTGCGTCTTTCCTGAACGAATCATTAGCTTTAAACGAGTGTTCTAGTGTGTTTTCTCGCTTCAGGCCTGAGGTGCTCCGCAAACACGGTAATAAAGACACTTGACATCACGGGTCAGCACCTGCAGACTGCCAGTGCCGCTGAATCAAGCACCGAATCTGCTGAGTGAACCGCTTCAAATGAGTCAAGTTACTGAGAAGATTCAAAATGCAGTGAGCGACCATTTGCTGTCTGCTATCTAGCTCAAAAAAGCCAAAGCCTTTTCTCCTTTGAAATACAGACTATGGTAATATGTAGCAAACCCATAATCAATTTGGTACACCATGATTTAACGTTTGTTTGTTTTAGTTTATGCGACATTAACCCCTTGTAACCAGCAGGTGTCAGTGTGCTAGCCCATCTGACTAGCTCTTAAATTAACTAAAGGTGGATTAATCTAATCAAACTAATGTAGTAATCGTAGTAAGTGTAACGTTAATGGTATAAAAACGACAAACTATTTCCCAAATTGTCTAAGGTAGGCTTTTAATTGTATACTGGACTTCAAATTGCTAGCCATTTAACTTCTGTGTATTTTAACACATTGCAATAGTATAACCAACAGTTTTTATTTTTATTTTATTTGTTGTATATCCTCGCATCAAATTAAAAAAAGCGAATAAGACCAGTCGTGCGAGGCATTTGTAATGCAGAGTGTGTATGGGGCAGGACAGTAAATTTGAAGATGTTCTCTTTCTGGCTGTCCTCAGTCGCATTTTTTCTCCTTTTTCTAAAAGACTTGGTAACAACATAGTAGAGTTTTTCTTTTATTTCGACAAATGGGATTGTAAAAATGATTTGTTTATCCAGCTTAAGACAACTTTCGCTACTGAGAAACGTGTAAAGGTCCGAATCAAGCAGCTGGTTATTTTAGAGTGCGTTCGATATACGTCACAAGTATAATTCATTTCTCAGCTCTCATGGAAGCAGGTGAAATTCACGCTCGCTCCACTTCAAATCAGATTATCAAGAAGAAGGTATCACTTAAATGTATATTTTCACCTAGATAAACAATGATGAATGACTTATTTGTCTTTGGCAGACGGGAAACGTGGTAATGGTAGGCTTAGTGGGTCAGGCGTTTTGCAGGTAATGAAGACACAACAAGAAGATTGCTGGAGATACAGTATACTTGAAGAACAACTTATGAATCACTGGTGATCAACAACAATTGAGTACATATCTGTTCCCATTGCCAAAGACAACTAATAATAAGATAGATGTCCTTCCAATAGGAAGGGGGTGGTGGTGGGCATAGCTAGTTAGACAGATAGGTAGCCGGTAGATTGGCCCTATGTATGCAATTTGGCAGTTACTGTAGTACAGTACATAAATGCTCTTCCAAGATGAAGAGGATGATGGTAGGCATAGTTAGTTAAGCAGACAGGTAGCCATTAGGTATAGATAAGCTAATAGGTAGGTACAGTACATACAGTAGATGCCCTTCCCAGAGGAAGGGGGTGGTGGTGGGCATAGGTAGTAAAACAGATAGGTAGCCAGATAGATACGCAATTAGGTAGGTACAGTACATATATGCCCTTCCAAGATGAACGGGGTGGTGGTGGGAATAAAAAACAGACAAGACAGACAGACAGGTAGACCGACATCTATCTATGCCTCAGGATGTGGGCTTGACTGAAAAAAAATCAGTTCATATAAAATAAAACTGTTTTAAAATCCACCAAAGCATCCTTATTTTGTCATCACTATTGTAGTGTTGTGCATTTGGTTTCTTTACACTAACCAAAGAACCAGGTTATTTGCTCACCTTTACAGTACACTGTTTAATTACATTTCTCCATACCATTATATGTACAGTAAAGTTCCAATGCAAAACTTGTCAAAGGTTAGTTTTTGTTTGTCTTCATAATAAAAGCATGATCAAGAAGACCAGCAGAAGCACTTGTAATATTTTTGAATTAAGGAACCAAACCATGTGCGCAAACAGTGTTTTTAGTGATTACGCCTAAAGCAAAGAATGAATTCTTTTGTGACTGTAGGCTATTCTTATTCATTTATTTCCACAATAGCAACATCACCTTATTTTGCATTAATAAACAATTCATTTTAGCATATTTTATAAGCAGTAAAAACAATATGTACATGACCCAAATTCCAGAAATGTCAGAAAATAATATCATTTAGCACAGTCAATGTTTATATGGTTGTCAGTAGTGAAAATGTTTATTTTTTCATTCTAATTATCACTTTAAGGACATTTCTGATAACACCTGAAGGCTTCAGTATTATAGGTTTATAAACAATGGTAACCTTTGAATTTTATGTTAGCTGATGACATTGTTGCATGTTAATTGAAGTAAATCATCTGCTGAAGTTTACTGGTGAAACAGATATTCATGTACTATAAGAATGTGTATAGATACCACTGGCTGATTGAGCGGTATTGAACTTCATATCAGTCCTGTACATTGCTCTATAGGCTTTAAGTCTTTTATATCACTCTGTGTTCTATTTTTTCCCCTCGCATAATGAAATAAGTTCAGCTCTAATCAATAATTGATGTCAATTCATTTATTTGGCAAGCAGCCATATAACAAGTGGGCTAATGTACCACCATGTACTTATTATCACAATGGCGCAAGACTGTCAGGATTTATTTTAGCACCATAACCAGCTGAGGAGTGTAGGCTCAGCACTTATATAGTGTGTATGGCTATTTTTGGTCTTTTCCAGTTTAACCACGATTCCCCATAACCTGCATAGACTTCACTGTGCACAAATTGAACTCAATCAAGGCAATTAGATCCAATGAAGCACCCCAGAACAAAGACCAATAGATGGTTTTCTGCCGTTCGCTTGGTACCATATGAACTCATTATGTAATGCAACGTCCCTGATGTGACTTCTGGCATTTCAGTTCAAGCTTCTGCAAGGGAAAATCAAATCAATCTCCCATTGACTCTGTCAGCATGTGATGGAAAGCTAATTAAAGGCCCTGAGGGACGGCTGGTCATTTTATGAAGCATGTAGTGTGATCGGCGAGATGATCCAGTTGTGCAGTGCCTGAAAGGTTCGGGCAGGGACGAATCAGGATAACAAAATCACGTGCATGTGCTGATTGGTGGATTCACGGCTTGCCTCGTACCTCCTTGTTGTTTCAATTTAAAACCATGTTTCTTTTTTCATTTTTAAAATCAATTGCTATTGGATTCATAGGGTAAACGTGCAATGTTGTGCAAATATGCTTTTAATGAGATTTGTTGCACATAAAACCAGAAAAGAGACCATGCTAAACAAATCACTGCAGTATTGATGGATTGAGTTTAGGAGGGGGGGCCTGATGCAATCGAGTGCAAGGTCTTTCATTTGACATTGAGTGCTCGCAAACGTAAACAACATGGAAAGCTTCAGCACAAACTCGAACGGGAACACAAAGGAAAACAGTGAAATAGAGTTGATATATTTGGCATGCATCATTTTTGTGGCAGGTGCTGGGACAGTAATAAAAAGCACCTTTTGAAAACTCAGATGCACACTATGCTGTTAGCTGCAGTGAACTGGCCTGACTAATTGACCAGTGGTATAGATTATACATTAGATTAATGGTTAAATGGGCGAATATGCATGCTTAAAGTCCTGTGGTAGTTGTGTTCGGCTTTGGTTTGGCTTGCTTGAGAGCAGCATCGTAATATTTTGTGAGGCAGAATATTGTATATTGTGTATCGACTGCTTGAGGGACATTTGGTTGGTTGGCATCGCGGGCAACTTTTTATGTGTGTGGGGGTGCTGTTTTCAGCAATTGCTTGATAAGATCAGCCATGGGGCATTGTCCCGTCAGTTTCTGATCAATTTCTACATCCTGTGAACTCGCTGCATGAAACAACTGTGGGGAACATTCACTGTAGCCGACATTATGCGGAGAGACTGGCTGCGTTTTAATGTGCAAACTCCATGGCTGTAAAATGAGGGAATGATTTTCCTTGTTGGGGGAAACATGCTTGTTTATATACCAAGGAAACTAGAAAGCAAATCCCACTGAAATGTAAGTTCACTTTAGTTTGTTTTTTGGGGGAGAAAGTATTGATCAGCTTTGTGCAAAATTAAATAGTGTTGTGCATGTGTATGGCATTTTTACACACTTTTGTTTGCTTGTCAAATGCCTTATATATGATGACATAAACGCGTAAGAATGAAGCTAGAATCTTGACTAATCTTATATTTTTGTTGCCTTAAATGAAGCACTGACATGTGGCGGTGAAGATGGGGGACTGGAACTTGTTGGGGAGCATTTTAGAGGAGGTTCACATTCACTCCACCATCGTGGGTAAAATCTGGCTGACCATCCTGTTCATTTTCCGGATGTTGGTTCTTGGTGTTGCGGCAGAGGACGTTTGGGTGGACGAGCAGAGCGAGTTCGTCTGCAACACGGACCAGCCTGGATGCAAGAACGTCTGCTACGACCAGGCATTCCCAATATCGCTCATTCGCTTCTGGGTATTGCAGATCATTTTTGTTTCCTCGCCTTCGCTGGTGTACATGGGACATGCTCTGTACCAGCTAAGGTCTTTAGAGAAAGAACGGCACAGGAGGAAAATCCAGCTGCGAGCAGAGCTGGAAGAGACCGAGCCCCTCTTGGAGGAGCACAGAAAGTTGGAGAAGGAACTGAGGAGGTTGGAAGAGCAGAAGAAGATGAAGAAGGCTCCTCTAAGGGGCTCCTTGCTTCGTACATATATTATTCATATCCTCACCAGATCAGTGGTGGAAGTGGCGTTCATTGTCGGGCAGTATATCTTATATGGCATTGGACTGGATCCTTTGTACAAGTGTGAGAGGGTGCCTTGCCCGAACAGCGTGGACTGTTATGTTTCCAGGCCAACAGAGAAAACCATCTTCATGGTTTTCATGATCGTCATCGCAGGAGTTTCGTTGTTCCTGAACCTTTTGGAAATATCCCACTTGGGGGTGAGAAAGATTAAACAGACTCTGAGCGGACTGCAGTTTGTCGAGGAGGACAGTCTTTGCAAACCCAAGCATTCGACAATTCAGCAGCTCTGCGTGATGACGGAGTATTCGCCTCACAAAAACCCACAATTGAAAACGTTTATCCCGCAGGGACAAATGGACAAACATCTGTTCAGCTCTTCGAGCAATGATATTCTGCGGCACAACAGTTTAGCAGCGTCCACCCTACCGGTGTCCTGCATTACCCAGCAGCCTCGCCAAATGCGCCAGCCCAGCCAGGGAATGATTCATGAACTGCACTCCCAGGGGTCACTGAGGCTCCTGGAGGACCAGGAAAACCAGCATCCAGATAGCAGTAACTGCTCAGAAAGGGACATTAGGCCTTTTAACTCGGGCCATCCGGGTTCTGAGGGCCATACCGAGATACCAGCCTGCCTTCGCAATGCTCTGCACAGGCCCAGCCGCTTGGCGGACCTAGCAGATGATGCTATGGAGTCCTCCGAGAGCGACTTCTGTCCACCCAACAGGAAAGCCAGTTTCATGGTTCGGATGCCCTCTGAAAGCATGTCCGGCAGTCCGTCCTGTCCCTCCACCAGGAGTTCAGAGTCTGAGCTGGGATCCCTTAACGACCTGCCCATGAACCCACCACCAGGGGGAGGACGACGGATGTCTATGGCAAGTAGATGGAAATGATTTACAGCTATATTTATGCCTATAAATTTTTTTTTTTTTTAAAGTACTTTGACAATCTTTTATACATTTTAAAACAGAAAGGTGTTCTTCAACCTTCTAGAAATCCCCGCAAAGAAAACTGCCAACTACATAAACTAATATGTATTTATAGATATCAATAATAATATTTAATATATAGCTATAAAGATATTCAATTGATATTTAATATATGAGTTCTGTCAAACAATTCCTCATGTATAATCACACTGAAAAAGCGTGCTTGTGTGTGTATGTATATATATATATATATATATATATATATATATATATATATATATATATATGTGTGTGTGTGTGTGTTCGTGTGTATGTATATACAAAATTGTTTTGTACTGTTTTGTTTCTATTTATGCGTGTGTATCACATATACATAATAAATATTTAACACACACACACACACACACACACACACACACACACACATATATATTATGTCAAACTAAGCTTTTATTTTGAATGTGATTAATTTTTGGCTAGCACTAGTGTTTACATAATAGTATGTTTGATATCTATATAAATAAACAAAAAAATACTGAAATACACAAAGCTAAAATATTTTAATAAGTAATAAATTGTTATTAATATAACAAATATACATAAAAACATATATATTATCAAACCGAGCTTTTATTTTGGACGCGATTAATCACAATAAATTTTTGCCCAGCACCAGTATTTACATAAGAAACATGTACACTGCATATCTTTAATGTCTATATAAATACACGTTTAAATATTAAAATGCGTAATAAATTGTCACTAATATAACAAATATACATAAATACCTAAATTTATATTTTTAGTTTTACTTGTGAATATTAAATACAAATTAAATTTGATCATCAATATTTATATCAGTAATGGTAATTTTTTCACTTTTTTTTCTGGTACTAATTTGCATTTTTTTTTTTACAGAGCGTATTCTTGGATATCTCTTCCATCATGAAAAAGTGAAAGAGAAAGGGCTGAAGGACAGCAGGAATGTAACAGGCCGTTCATGAGCAGAAATGAATGGAGATATCAGCGACAAAGGATTTAGCTCTGATCTGCTCTGCTTGGAAAGCAATGGTTCAATGCAGCTTTATTGCGGTCTAAGTAGTGCGGTTTTGTACTGTTGATTTGTTTTTATTATAAGCACCTTAATTTACCAGCAAAGCATGGTGTACAGCATTTCCATGTCGAATTATGGAAGCCAAAAGACATCTGTGCACATTTCTAAAAGCTTCAGACCTTCAGACGGCTGGCAAAAAAAAGAGAACATTTTTAAATCATTTAGCTTACATCCATAAAATGTGATGCAAGCTGAGTCTTACATCAAATTACCAAGAAAATAAAAAAAAGTTTTCTTATTTCCACAAGTGTTTGTGTTTGAATTGAGAGTGAATGCAAATTTCACAGTCCTCAGAGCAAATGATGCAAAACGCATCCAATCTGCATAAAACATGCGTAGCAATTTATTTCATATCCTAGTAGACAAATTCAATGCGGACACATTCGAGAATGTAACAAATACAGATTATCAACATTGAGGTCACAGATTAACAAAAGGAAGCAAAAGAATCCCACAAATAACTATAAACAGAATATATTTACAATACATACAAAATCTACATCAAAGAAGCGATTGTAAAAGTCTATTAAAAAAGGTTGTAAACCAGTTGTGCTACAGACCTTGTCCAAGACGAGAGGTATATCGATATAACAGGTAGATCTGTGAATGTCCAAACTCTCTTTACTGCATGTAAACTGCTAATGAATATTCATATTTGCCCTTATCGCAAGATTCATATCACAACTGTTGCGCATCATATAACGAAAGGCATGACAGCTTATCCAAATCCTCAAGAGGTCGAGAGAATAAAAAAGTCTGAACATTTATCCAAAAAGTCCAGAATAATACCAAAAAACATCCTCAAAACAGACCTTCAGTGGTTCAATCAGAATATAACTGCTACAAAAATACTTTTGTGCGAACATGAAACAAAAGTACTGAATTTGTTCAACATTGTCTTCTCTTCAGTGTCAGTATATTGATCACGTTTACATGTCAAACTTTTTTTCACATTTGAAGTCTACAATATGTCAATGCATAGTGCTCTTGTAAATGTGAATGTGCACCCTTTACTGACACTGAGGAGAAGAAGCTGTTAAATGAAGTCCTTATTTTTGTTTTATGAGCATCTAAAAGAGTTATTGTAGCCTGATTGTGTTCAGATTGAACAAATGAAGGCAGCATCTGGTCCGTTTAAGGATTTTACTTGGTGTTTTTCCATACCTTTCAATGTCATTAAATTACATTAGCATGTAAACTGCTAATGAATATTCATATTTGCCCATATCACAAGATTCATTTCACAACTGTGGCACATCATTTATCAAAAGGCATTACAGCTTATCCAAATCCTCAAGAGGTCGATAGAATAAAAAAAGTCAGAATATTTATTCAAAAAGTCAAGAACAATACCAAAAAGCATCCTTAAAACAGACCTTATGCCTTCAGTGGTTCAAACAGAATATAACAAAGCTACGAAAATACTTTTGTGCGCACATAAAACCAAAATAACAACCTTATTCAACATTGTCCTCTCTTCAGTGTGAGTTTGTTGCGCAAGTGTACCTGTTGCACTGTTTCACATTCGGAGTCAACGTCAATGCATAGTGCTCTCGTAAATGTGAATGTGCGCCCTATACTGACACTGTGGAAAAGTAACAGTTAAATAGAGTCCTTATTTTTGTTTTATATGCACATAAAAGGGTTATTGTAGCTTGATAAGGTTCAGGATGAACAAATGGAGGCAGCATGTGGTCTGTTGAAGGATTGTTTTCTTGGTATTTTTCCATATCTTTCAATATCATTACATTACATTAGCATGTAAACTGCTAATGAATATTCGTGTTTGCCCTTATCACAAGATTCATATCACAACTGTGGTGCGCCATATAACAAAAGGCATGACAGCTTATCCAAATCCTCAAGAGGTCAAGAGAATAAAAGTCAGAATATGCACAGATTTCTGAAGAATTTGTAAACATGATTTAAATTCTTTACAGTCAGTAATGTAAGAGTCGTTGTTTGCGGTGCACAAATGAACCAACATGAATAAACAAAAAACTCTGTTAATTAACAATTTCCGGATTTTGTGATTCACGGGTGTTTTTGGTTTATTTACACTTCCGAGTTGCATTATGGTACTTTTATCTCTGCTCTGTTGACTTTTGATGTTGAAAATTCAACTTAGCAGTTTAACACAGTGAATTTTATTGACATTTTAATCGTAAAACAAAAAAGTACTGGCAGTTTATTGCCTGCTTTTGGTACCATGGTGTACAACACTTATCACTTCAAACTCTTCAAAATGTTAATAAAGTATAAATAGCATTCAAAAGCATAAATAATCAGAAAACAATCCATGAATCAAAAAAAAAAGAAAAGAAAAACTGTTCATTTAAGATTATTTTTTTACAAGGTAACTGTTTTTTTTTCTTACTTTTTATGGATTTATTTATCCGTCACAGACTTAAGAACAGAATCCCCAAAAGTTTGATAGAAAAAACATTTTAAAAATGCTTTAATCAAGACACTGAAGTCATGCAGTTCACATTATTTTGAATTAAATAGACAAAATTAAACAATTAAAAGCACTGTGATCCTACAGACGCGAGTTGCAAAAATAAACACAAATAAAACACAGCACTTTTAAGGCATAAATTTTCATCCAATGTCAGTAAATCAAACATCTAACACTGCCATCAGACTACAAACTGAACTGAGAACGCTTACAGGTGAAACTATTAGTACACTCTTAGAAATAAAGGTACGCGAGCTGTCACTGGGGTGATGCCTTTTGAAAAGGTACACATTTGTACTTAAAGGGTTCATATTGGCACCTCAAAAGTATATATTAGTACCTAAAAATTTAGGAGCAACACTTTTGTACTTTTTAGGTACTCATATGTACCCTTGAGGTATTAATATGGACCTTTTAGGTACAAATTTGTACCTTTTGAAAAGGTACAACTCCAGTGACAGCTCGCGTACCTTTATTCCTGAGTGTACAGAAACTAGGAGTGGAGTGTGGGTAAGTGCACAAACAATTTAAAGGGTTAATACACACAAAAAATGAAAATGACATTATTAAAAACTCACCTTCATTTTGTGGCAAAACCCCGAGAACTTTCTTCATCTTCAGAACACAAATGAAGATATTTTAGATGAAATCTAAGAGCTCTTTTTTCCTCCATTTACAGCAGCATACAAACACATCTTTAAAACAGACCATATTACGTCAGTGGCTTAACCAGAATATAATCAAACCACGAAAATACTTTTGTGCGCACATAAAACAAAAATAATCACTGTTTTCAACAATGTCTTCTCTTCAGTGTCAGTATATTGCGCACATTCAAACCTTGTTTCACATTCAGTCTATATCAATGCATTGTTCTCTTGTGAATAAAGAAAATAAAGTCCTTTTTTTTGTTTTATGAGCACACAAAAAGGTTATTGTAGCCTGATAATGTCCAGTTTGAACAAATCAAAGCAGCATCTGGTCTGTTTAAAGATTTTTTTAAATAAAATTCCTCTCTTTAGTGTCAGTCTATTGCACACGTTTACAATTCACACTTTGTTTCACATTCAGAGTTTACGTCAATGCATAGTGCTCTCGTTTATGTGAATGTGCGCAATATACAGACACTGCGGAGAAGAAACTGTTAAATAAAGTTATTATTTTTGTTTTATGAAAAGTGTTATTGTAGGATTTTTTTGGGTATTTTTCTATTTCTTGGAGTGTCTCAAAATAATGACCTTGTCTTCATTGTCTTCTCTTTAGTGTCAACATATTGCACACGTTTACTTGTCGTACTTTGTTTCACAATCGGGTCTACGTCAATGCATAGTGCACTATTAAAATGTGAATGTGCGCAATATGAAAGGCAACATTTGGTCTGTTTGAGAATGTTTATATATGTATATATATATATATATATATATATATATATATATATATATATATATATATATTTAAATGTCTCATACCTTTGCTCTCTATGGAGGATGAGGAAGCTCTCAAATTTCACCTAAAATATCTCAAGTTGTTTTATGTAGAAAAGCAAAGGTCTTTTGAATGACACGAGTGTAATTTATAACAATTTAAATTTTTGGGTGAACTAACCCTTTAAAAATTCCCCAAAAATAAATATCTCAAACATAAGAAAGAAAAATAATATATATCTACCACAATGATTTTTTAAAGGAGTAAAAGGATAATGTGCATACTGTCCTGACGGAATCAAATCAGTTGGGAGAGGTCACAATTTGAGCTGCCAACATGAGTGAATTCACTAAAGTTTGCATATCTGATCGATCATTTAACAGTCTAGAAAACTGAGCATGAGAGAGAGAAAACAAATCTGTGGAAAATGTAAAAAATACTTGAGGGGACAATCATATTAGCAGCTAATCGTCAATATTGATGAAACTGCTTTATGATTTATGACCGCTATTTTCTCTGATCAGATGTTCATTTTTCTATGCTGACAAACAGATTGCTCGGCTTCAGGTGAACATCTGCTTCCTTTCTGTTATTTATTTTTTTTCTTGATGCACGCAAGGAATGCTTGGAACACACAGTAGATACAAAACACTTTCAGACACTTTCAGTATCACTTTTGCATATGCTGATTGATTTAAAATTTCCTGAGATAAATCTGAGAACCAGATACAAATGCAGAAAATGTGACATGAATTATTTTAGTTTTTTATTTAGCATGTATAGAAGCTTGTTTCTGCCATATGAATTAATAAAAAAGAATAAGTAATCACTATAATTTAGAATTCAGCGTTTTTACATCAACACTTTTGACTTTTTTCCTTTAAATTAATTGATCTTAGGATTGCAAAAACCAGTCTTTTGCGAAAAAATAAGACTTCATTTCTTGCAGTTATAATTTTCTCACAATTCTGATTTATTTCTGAAAATTGCAAGCTAGTTTCTCACAGTTGTGAGTTATTCTTTTTGGGAATTCTGGATTTATATTCTTGCAGTTTTGAGTTTTTGCAATTCTGACTATTTGTTGTAATTCTGACTTTATACTCTTTTTTATTTTCCCCCAATTCTTCTCAGATTTTAAAGACAAACTCCTAATTGCAAGTTTCTAAATCGCAAGTTGAGAAAAATGCTTAAAAAAAAAAAGAAAATTGCTTGTGTTTCAACTTAAAATGTGTTTTGTCAAAAAAAAAATGTGTTGTGTTTTAGCCTAAAAAATGATGGAGGGAAAAAGCACTTACAATTGTAAGTTTACATAAGCAATTTTTCTTTTATAGTTTGTTGCAGAAGTGGGTTATATAAGCTCACAACTGTAAGTCCTTTATCCCTCAATCCTTTTTTAGTTAAAACACAACACATTTTTTAAACAAAACATATTTAAGTTAAAACACAACCCAATTCTTGCTTGTTTTAACTTAAAAATGTGTTTTGTTTTTAAAAATGTGCTGTGTTTTAACTTCAAGAAAAACGATGGTGGGAAAAAGGACTTATAACCGTGAGATTATATAAGCCAACAAAAAATCTGCAACAAATTCTGCAACAAAATCTTTTAAAAAATAGAAAATTGCTTGTGTTTTAACTTAATAACTTGATTTTGTTGCAGAATTGAGTTATATAAACTTGATTGTAAGTCCTTTATATCGCAATCCTTTTTTTAATTTAAAACACATTTTTAAAACAAAACACATTTTAAAGTTAAAACACAAGCCAATTCTGCAACAAACTCACAAACCAAAAAGAGAAAATTGCTTGCGTTTTAAGCTAAAAATGTGTTTTGTTTTTAAAAATGTCTTGTGTTGTGGGAAAAAGAACTTACAACTGTGAGTTTACGAAAGCAATTTTAAATGTTTATTTTTAGAATTTGTTGCAGAATTGGGTTATATACAAACTCATGATTGTAAGTCCTTTTTCCTTGCGTTTTTTTTATTTAAGTTAAAGCAAATTTTTAAAAACAAAGCACATTTTTAAGTTAAAGTATAAGTTAAGTTTGTTTAAGAGAATGTGTTTTGTCTTAACTTTAAAAAACAATGGAGGGAAAAAGGACTTACAATTGTACGTTTATATAAGCCAATTCTGCAACAAACTAAAAAATAAAGAAAATTGCTTGTGTTTTAACTTAAAAATGTTTTTGGTCAAAAAATGTGCTTTGTTTTATCAAAAAATAAATAAATAAAATTAACTTACCATTGTGAGTTTATATAAGCAAATTCTGCAAAAAAAAAAAAACAAACAAACAAAAAAACAACAACTAGAAAATTTCTTGTGTTTTACTTTCAAAAATGATGGAGTGAAAAAAGGACTATTTAGGTTATATAAACTCACAATTGTGTACAACATAAAATTGCTTGTTTTTTACTTAAATATGCATTTTAAAAAATGTGTTTTAACTTGACAAAAAAAAGGATGGAGAGAAAAAGCACTCACAATTGTGAGTTTATACTGTATAACCCAATTCTACAACAAACTAAAAAAATATAAAATTGCTTGTTTTTGAACTTAAAAATGTGCTTTGTTTTTTATAAATGTGTTGTGTTTTAACTAAAAAACGGATGGAGGGATGAGGGACTTACAATTGTGACTTTATATAACCCAATGCTGCAACAAACAAACAAAAAATTTTGAAAATAGCCCGTGTTTTAACTTTAAAATGTGCTCTGTTTTAACTATAAACAATGATGGAGGTAAAAAAGAGTTTATATCACCCAATTCGGCAACAAAACTCAAAAGAAAATAGCTTGTTCTAACTTACAAATGTGTTTTATTTTTCAAAATTGCCTGTGTTCTCACTTTAAAATGTGCTTTAAAAAAAAATGTGTTGTGTTTCAACTTAAAAAAAGATGGATGGAAAAGGACTGAAAATTGTGAGTTTCTACAAGCCAATTCTGCAACAAACTCTTAAAAAAAAAAAAAAAAAACTGCTTGCATTTTAACCTAAAAATGAGTTCACTTTTTAAAAATGTGTTGTGTTTTAACATAAAAAAAAAACAATAAAGCGAAAAAGGACTTACAATTGAGAGTCTATTTAACCCAATTCTGATACAAACTTTCAACTGTAAGGGAAAAAAGTCAGAACTATGACTTTAAAAAGTTGTAATTACCTTTTGATTTCTTTTAAAAATTCCATAGCTTCAAGCAAGCCTCCATATTGTATGTATGAGAACACATCCATATGCAGCACACAAATACAAAAACACCTTGAGTTATTCACCATGACCCAGTACAGTCAAACAAAACGTAACACTTCCAAAAAAAAAAAAGTAACACAAAAAATATCGAACCAATATTCACATTAAAAGTTCCAAAATGCAGTCTACCAGACTCAGTTTCTCTCAGGCAGCTCTTCAGTCGTACACTTCTCCGTCATTTCCTGGCAGAAATCAATAGTGACGCTGGAGCTGCCTGTCTGTGAGGCATCAGACCTGATGGAGGCGGTGTTTTCCTGGGACGGCTCTGTGTCCCTGTCCGCTCTTCGGTGTAAATGTGGCGGTTGGGTTGTCTGGCAGTCTGATATGTCTTTACTGTTAGGAATGAGGGAGATTTGAAGCTCTGTACCTGACAAAACTGGGTCTGTGTGTGGATTATACTGTGATCGAGGAGTGCGCTGTTCCTCTCTGCAGACCTCCTTAGACAAAAACGAGAAGTTTTCCCAAAGCTCCCCCATACAGGTTTTCAGCTGACTGCGTTCGGTTAAGAGCTTCTGTCTCTCGCAGACCTAACACAGGAGAAACACGCTGAATTATTAGCCCCCTTGTAGATTTTTTCCCCCCAATTTCTGTTAAACAGAATAAATTTTATTTTCCCAACATACTTCTTTTAGGGCAACACGATGGCTCAGTGGATAGCATTGTCGCCTCACAGCAAGAAGGTCGCTGGTACGAGTCCCAGCTGTTGCTTAGAAACATCAATCATATTTTTGCATCTTCCACATTTCTTTTACAATTAATATCCTAGCATATTGGAAATTAAATCTGTTCTTGTGTGCGTAATTGTGCATTTCTAAAGTTAATTACCAAAGGCATCTTTATAAATGTTGTTCCAGATCAAATAGAGCTCAGATATAATGTTAAACAAATATTTTTCATTTCCCACAACACTGACCTAAGCTCAGAGAAAGGTTTCTTTAGCTTCTTGATTTAGTTTTTTTTGCTATTTGGACAAAAAAACAAGACAAAAACTGTTAGTAAGAAAATCTTTTTTCTTTTGCCTTGTGATTTAAGTGTTTTCTCTTTATTTGGTCCACATTTTCTTTTCGGAAAAAAAACAAAATATAATTGAGATTAGATTCCTGAATCTTTGTCTTCAATAAGATTTATTTGACAAAAAAAATGAGTCACTACTAATTATTTAGTCAAAAACCATTGTAATATTGTAATGATAATAATAATAATAATAATAATAATAATTCATTCATTCATTCCTTTGTCAGCTTTGTCCATTTATTATTCCAGGGTCGTCACAGCGGAATGAACCGCCAACTTATCTAGCAAGTTTTTACGCAGCGGATGCCCTTCCAGCCGCAACCAATCTCTGGGACACATCCACACACACACACAAACACAAACACGCACGCACGCACGCACGCACGCACGCACGCACGCACGCACTCACGCACTCACACACACACACACACACACACACACACACACACACACACACACACACACACACACACACACACACACACACACACACACACACACACACACACACACACACACACACACACACGCACACACTATGGACAATTTAGCCTACCCAATTCACCTGTAAAGTATGTCTTTGGACTTTGGAGGAAACCCACGCAGGGAGAACATGCAAACAGAAACGCCAACTGAGCCGAAGTTTGAACCAGCAACCCAGCGACCTTCTTGCTGTTAGGCAACAGCACTACCTTAAACATTACCCAATAATAATAACATTAACAATAATTTTGTATTTATATAGCGCCTTTGCAGAGCTCAAGGACACTTTACAATGAATATAACAAAAAGAGATATTACGAACAGACATTGAAAGAAACAATAATCAAGTAGAGACAACATTAGGCTCACAAACATACAAGAAGTCAAATATAACAAACTGAAAATACAAAACAAGACCAAAGAGACTAATATGCAGAGTACAGGTTGATCAAAAAAAAGTGGTCAGTTTATCATAAACATCAGAAGTGTAACATTTAAGTTAAGTAAAGTAAAATTCTGAGGTATTATTAACAGAACAGAGTGAGCGTGGTAGAGAGTTCCAAAGTTTGCGTGCAATAACACTAAATGATCTGCCGCACATTGAAGAGAGGCGGTACCGAGTCAGAGGAACTTGGTGAGCGAGTAGGGATGTAGGGGACAATCATGTTGCAAAGATAAGAGGGAGCTAGGCCATTAAAGGATCTAAATGCTAGGAGGAGAATTTTGAATTTATGTGAATTGAATATGGTTAATGTTATTTGTGCAGCCTACCAGTTTGTGAATCTCCCGCTCCAGGTTCTGGATGCAGTCCAGCTTTCTTTTCCTGCAGCGCTGGGCTGCGATGCGGTTTTTACTGCGGCGTCTCATGTCGTGGATGAAGTCCAGCTGATCTGAGCTCAGTTTGTGCATTTTTATCATCAGCTGGAAGTCGTTACGAGGAAGCTCGGTGATCTGGTCAACTGAAAAAGGCAGTTTCACCTGCAAGCATACAAAGCATTATAGTTAGACGTGTTTACAGCATACAGCTTAAAACAATTTACTGCAAAAAAAAAAAAAAAAATTAAAAATAAGGAAAAATAAATTACAAAACAACTATAAATTTATTTGCATACAAAATTGACAAGTGCTTCAATGATAGTATGGTGCTTCACCACTAGATGACACTGCCATCTAAATCATATTTATTGTTTTATTTATTTTCATGCAAAAAAAGGCACATCCTCATTAGAAAACTAAACTTACCTTGACATCTTGAGTGAGTGTGGGTACATTTTATTAACTAACTATTTATTATTAAAACTACAGCTATAAATATATATATGCAAGGCAAGCTTAATTATATAGCACATTTCATACACAGAGGCAATTTTTAACATAAGAATAAAAAAGACAAGTATAAGAAAATAAAAAACAAATTCAAAAAACAAATTCAAAATAGATATAGGCGAGGAAGTGGTGCTGTAGGTAGTGCTGTCGCCTCACAGCAAGAAGGTCGCTGGTACGAACCTCGGTTCAAAAAACGTGCTGGATAAGTTGGCGGTTCCTTCCGCTGTGGCAACCTCATATTAATAAAGGGACTAAGCCAACAAGAAAATGAATGAATAAAAGAACAAAAAACAGATATATAAACATATGTAAAAATAATATATCTAATATATATATATACAGTATAAATAGAATACATTTCTATTCGGCTTTTATTCTATTCTATTTCTTTCCATTAATCGCATTTTCCAGAAAAAAATAGTTTTTAACACTGATAATATTAAAGGTTTCAAGCACCAAATCATTATATTTCACAATCATCATGTGACACTGCTGAAAGCAAAATTGACAAAATACTAAATACAAAACTTTATTTTAGGTATAAAATTAAAATAATTTTTCACAATATTACTGATTTTATTTAGCTTTTGTTTAGTATTTTTTGTACAGATTCATTGGGATCAGCCAATCTTTGTCTTTAACAGATGATAATAACAGTTCTGAAAGCCAAAGAGCTTTCAGTTTAGTCTTGAGATTGTTCAGCCAATCTCTGAAAATGTCATGCAGATAAACACAAACTACAGCATGCATTACGCATCAATTACGAACTCTACAAACAGCATGACTGTATTCTCATTTAAGACTGAGATGAAACCTGACTTAAAACTCTCCGTCACAGTGCTCGCCATGACAAATACTGGCTCTCTCTCTGCGGTGACCTTGTGCCACTGCTCAGTCTGTGTAAAATGGAGGTCTATATTTAACCGCTCCACTACTGAGAGCTCTGTAATAAGGCTAGAATGACAGATTAGGCTTCCAGCGGCACAGGCACGTTCGCTCCTCTCCTTCTCTCTGAAGTGGGCTGGTTTCTGGGAGAAGGCAGTGCTACTGTGAAGTAGGGCTCATCTGTTAGGCAGCGAGGTGAAACGGCCCGTCATCAGATGGGAGCCTGGGGGCCGATGCCCCATTTCTGTCTGGGGACCTGCAGCTGGGAGCTTTAAACTCCAGCGAAGTGAAGGGCACTATAAAGACGGCTAAAGAAAGACCATTTCTGCAGAGAATTCAACACTATATTTGGGTTCAAATGTTGCATTTTGCTTAAACCTAATTGCTGTTGCTAAAGAAAATAAATCTAAACCATCACAAAAGTTCTAAAGGCTTTGTAATGATAACTGTATTGGTCTCCTTAGGGTTTCTACTGCTAAATTGTCGCCTTGACACACAAACACCGAAAAATTTAGATGGGTCTGGCTGCAGACCTGGTGCCGTGCAATCTGGGCTGCATCCAATGCTTTTTAATGGGCTCACCTAACCCCACCCCTAAGCCTACCCATCACAGTGACGTCACTAGCTCCATTTGAGTGCATTGTGTCTGACATTGCATCGCTGAGTGATGCAGTCTCAGCTTGCATCATAAAGGCTGCATCCAGATACTATTGGAAAAATTGGTTCTTTTGCAGTTATTAGTGGTACTACTTAGCATCACTAAGTAGATCTTTAGCTCATAATAATATATGGGAAACAATTATTAGTGCTATGTAGCACCAGTAATGGTTTTAATGGTTCTTTAGGGTTAAGGTGCTTTGAGAGCCTTTCTGAATGAATTAAATACTGTTTTAAACCAAGGCTCCATTGATTAAAATGACCAAAACAAAGACGGCATTTCACGCACGTACCTCACATTTTCAAAGCAGAATATCTAACGTCAGCATTGTTTTTTAGATAAACAAGAATGTTTACTTAGCATGTTTCTTAAATATTTGCAGACATATTATGATATTTTTAAGCTTTAGAAGAGTCAAAAACTTACAAAGAGCACCTTTAATATCCTATTCAGAATTGCTTCAAGGAATTTTTTTTTGTTTTACAGATTTTAAAAAGACAAATATAAAGAGACTAATTATGTGTTTTTAGCACTTCATCAACCAAAGTGTTGAGTTTATGGTTGCCAGACATTGCAGAAACCTGCCACATTACTGGCAAACTGGTTTTTAGTCACTGGTGCGCATTAAATTTGCTATTTTACAGCAGCTCAGAAAGCTGTCAGATTAAAGAAGATGAAGCCATCAGTTTAATATTGATGCTGCAAAAATGTCTGCTTCTTTGTGCGGCTGCCTTCAAAAACACGTACTGAGATTTAGATAAAAACGCAGTCACTTGGAAACTGACAACTCCTCAAATTGGGTCTTTAAAAAAAAAAGAAAAAAAATCAAACAACTAAATGAGACAGCAAAAGATGATAGCCAGATTGTTGATCTGGCAGTGTGTCAGCGCTTGTCAGGAGGAGGGACAATTATGTCATTGGGACCTGAGGCTCTGAGCTTATTGCCATGGCAACCCTTCAGTGTTTGCCAAGTTCCTACAGCTCAATTCTCGATCTGAGTAGCTGGGGAATCAAATGTGGGAATGTTTTGCAATGATTATGGCTTCATTTTTATTTATAGGGATTTTGTCTTTTTAATGGGATCAAGAAACAGATTTGAACTTGTTCCCATAAAAAGCTCAGATGCCGACAATACCACCCTTGTGGGCTGTGTGATTTGAAGAATAACAAATCTAACAGATTTTTTCTTTTATATATATATATATTGTAGTAGACATGAAATGGTTAACGTGTCACGTGATTGTGGTGGAGGGTCACCGGGTTACGTAGTGCGCTTATAGGTGGCACCTGTTCATTCACAACTTAGGAAGGAGAGAGAGAGGGGGTGAACGGGGACGCGGTATTCTTTGTTGACCAAACAAACACAAACAGGCTCAAACGAAATCAAGCTTAAGCCCAAATCAAAGTCTACACTGTCAAAAGATCAAGGTATGTTTTATATTGGAAAATAAACGAGTGATGACATTTGAACGACTTCTTGCCTTGTGTACATTTGATGTTTGCGTCACAAAACATGTCTCTGGTTTAGCCTCTCAGCTGTTACTTCACGTAGCCGCTACATTATGTCAACAAAGAACGTTTGCTGGCGACGCATCATCTGACGCATGATTGAACTTCGCGCTAAAGAGTGTAAGATTCTGCACGATTGGAGAGAGAATCCTACAGCTGAAGGAATTGCAACGCAAACTGAAACCTATTCTGTGGCACAAACATCGCTAAGAAGGTAAGCCTGTTTGGCTTTCGCTCGCACAGCTGTGCAGTTTGGTTGGACGCAGTTGTTTACGTTTGTTTATCCATCGGGGATATTCGCGGTGTTTGTTGTTTGTTTCCGGTTGTTTTGTCCAGAGCTCTGGTGTTGGCAGTTTGTTGTTGGCTGTTTGTTCGTTGGTGTAATGCCGCGATGTTTGTGAAGTTCGTGCGTCGTTGTGATGTTATTGGAGGATTTTATTGAATGAAGTATCGTTGGCTTGCTGGAAAAAACATGAATGAAGCGGGTGTTGATGACGTCACTGGTTTGGAAGTGGATGGCAGTAAAAGGCACACTAAATTAACTGCAAAGGCTTTGTCAAATAAAATTGAGGGTCTTCAAAAAGAAAGGAAGAAGAAAGTGAATCACATTAAAGGGCTCATACCAGAGATTAAATCTTTGATGCACAAAAGGGAAAATGCCTCCAAAGTGCAACACATGTTTAAAAATCTTCTTCAACTTTGTGAAAATGCCAGTGAACATCATAATGCTGTACTTTCGCTACTTCCAGAAGATGAACAGGAAAAACAAAATGAATGGTTTTTGAGTATCATGAAATATTGTGAAACATTTAAGGATGCTGTTCAATGCTGGTTAAGTGGATCAGAGGAGATTGAAGACAACTCAGATGAAGTTGATGCTGGAGTAATGCAAGAAGATTGCTCTAATTCACAGGTCCCAGTCTATGTTACATCTATTACCACATCAGATGAAATACAAGATGATGTAAAACCCACTGACAGCGTGTCTAATATTGACAGTAAAACTTCCAGAAATCAAAATTCAATTGCTGATAATGGTTCTTTGGTATCATCTACTTCTTCAGTTCGTCTCAAAGCAGAGTCTGAGTTGGCTGCATTAAAGGCACGTCAAAAAATGTTAAAAGATAAACATGAGCTGGAGGATCAACAGGAGCAACTACGAAAAAAGAAGGAACAATTAATATTGCAAGAAGAAATTGAAGTGCAAATGGCTAAATTAAATGTCTTGAAATCTCAAAGTGTGTCAAGTTCAAAGTCTGATCGTTCAAGAGGGAAACATTCCAGTTTGGAGCAAAAACAAAGGAAAACGCTAGGTCTTAATGCCAGTGCTAAAGCATTTGTACCCCAAAGGTGTGTAAGTGAATTATTTCAAGATCGAGAGAACACTGGAGCAAAGCCTAAAAAGAAAACTGTACAACATCAAACTTTGCAGTCTTATCAAGTGGAACATCAATCATCTAGACACCAAACTGAAGAGCATAGAGGGCAAAGAAATGTTATGAATTCACATGTTCAAAACTCTGACGAACAAGGTAACATAATGGGCATCATGAGAAAGCAAAATGAAATAACATCATTACTGTTGAAACAACAATGTTTA